GTGGATTATATGCATGCTTGATAAGTCTCTTCTCAGAAGAATGAATTCTTTTCCTATTAAAAATCTTTAATTCCCATAACCACTTTAAACTCATTCAAACCAAACTCATAAACGTGAGAAATTATCAAACTACTAATCAGTAGCACTAGATGGTATGATAAAACTAAATACTTACTTATTTTTTCTTGCCACTTTACCGCTTTAGAACCAACAAATATAAGCTTCCGCTTCTAGAATTGTTGGTGTCACTTCTATGGAGAAGACATTTTTGGTTGGATTTGCATTTCTAGAATTTGAGAAAGAAGAAAAAGTTACATGGGTGCTGGATATATGCAAGAGTTTGTTTAAGGATTCACATAATATGCATAGAGTCATTATGACTGACCAAGATAGTGCCCTTATGAATGCGGTTGGAAGTGTGTTTCCTACATCATATGCATTACATTTTCAGTATCATATAATAAAAAAATGTGGGAGCTCAGCTCAAACCTGTGGTTGGAACCAAGGAAATCAACGGTGAAGACGAAAACATTGTCAAATCTAGTGTTATGGTGAAGAAGATAACAGGTGCATGGATGAATATATTAAATTCTCCTACAAAAGAGTTGTATCCTGAGAATGTGGTGCATTTCAGAAGCTTATGTGTCAAACATCTATTTTTTGTGAAATACATTGAATCTATTATTCTTGATCAGTTGAAAAAGAAAGTTGTGTGTGCTTGGACGGATGGTGTTAGACGTTTGGGAAACACAACAACTAATAGAGTTGAATCTGCATATTAGGCATTGAAGAAATGGTTGGGTGATAGCAAGGGAGATCTCTGTAGAGAATGGGACACAGTGAACTAAATACTCCAAAGACAACATAATGAAATTCAAACGACTTTTAGTTAGAGCATAATCATGGTAGAATATCGATTTAAAGACAACACTCTCTACTCGCAGTTGGTTCTCAACATATCCTGAACGGGATTGAATTTCATTTTTCATGAAGCGAAGCGAGCGGAGAGAAGGGGTCAGATAGTTAGAAGTGTGGATGTACAATTAGGAAAACTTATGGGCTTCCATGTGCTTGTCTCATTTCTAAAAAGATGAAGCTAAATTCGCCCATACGTATGGATGAGGTTTACGATCATTGGAAAATAATTCGGTTTGATGACTACAGTGAGACGAAGGATGGTACATCGAGTATAACCATCGCAACCGAGTTGAAAGTGGTCATGGATAGATTCTCTAAAGTAGATGATACTATGAGATTTCACATAAAACAACAACTATGGAAAATCGCGTATCCAGAAACCACTGATTTGAAACCTCTTTCGCAACCAGTAAAAATTAAAGGTGCCCAAAAAAAGGTGAAAATTACACAAGATGACATTTCAACAAAGCTGACTTCGTCTTACCATGAAGTTGTTGATTCAATATTCTTGGATTCTCCAAAATTGCAAACAAGATTTTTCAAGGGAGCTCGCATTTCTAAATCACTTCGTACACCCCTATTAAAAACAACCACATACACATTTGATTAAAAAAACACCACTTCCACCTTTGATTATCTACATTGATGAGATGTCACTTTTATGCATAAACACATTGAAAGAATCATAGATGTGGGGAGTGATGGTAATTGTGGGTTTCAGATTGTGTCCGGTTTACTTGGTAAAGGAGAGGAGAATCACACTCTTGTGAGCCAAACACTTATTTAAGAGTTGATGGTGCATAAGAAACTTTACACAGGACTATATGTGAATAAGGAAGAATTCATAAAAATTCACAATGCTCTTGTTACAAGTGTTAGTGTTCGTGCATCCATTGAAAAGTGGACGAGCTTTCCTGAAATGGATCATCTTATAGCAAGTACATATGACAGTGTGTGAATCGATCTGACGAGATATGGTTTTTCAGAAACATTTTTCCCACTTTGGAGTCGCCCATCTCAAGACCCATCCGGCTGCATCGTTTGTATTGGGTACCTTAGATCACACCATTTTGTTCTGATTTATTTGAAATCGGGGTGTCATATTCCGGCTACATCAGTGTAGTAGAAGACACCTTCCGCAAAAGAGACAGAAACTTGGTCGGATACCTTTTTGGAAAGAATGACTGAGTTCACCAGATTGTCGAAGTTTGAGAGAGAATCAAATAGGGAGAAGTCGAAGAAAGACACCGTTTTAGATTTAAGCGATGTCAATTTCTTCAGTGTATTTTAGAATATAATCAAACCATTTTTTGAATGTATTGACATGTACAATATAAATTTTATACGATTCAATACATATATAATATGTCTATTCAATATTTTACCGTTGTTTACTTTTAGCGATTAAATTCTTTCCACATTTATATGGTAGTGACTCTGATAAAAGAGATTTTGTCACGGGTTCTGCATATTTCGGATATGCATATCCAAAATAACCTACCTTCTTTTTAAAAAACCAAAATATGGATTATTTCGAATATGCATCTTCGAACGAACCTTCATTTTTAAAAAACAAAACAAGGATTACTTTAGATATGTCTATCCGAAGCCCCCTAATTTCGTTAAAAAAAAAGTTAATTCAGATGTTTATATCCAAAACATGCACTGGTGACAAGATAAGAATTCTTGGGTCCAAATTACTCCATCTCTTCTATAAATAGGGTCTCCAAACTATTTCTTCAACATCACAAACCACAAAAGAGATGAGCCAAACATATCTTCACCTTGCTTTTGTCTACTTCAATGATAAATTGCCGTCACTGCAATTTCGAGTCTCTGAGGACACGCCTTTCGTCGACCTAATTACCACACTGAATTCTCTCTTGCAATATCCAGAAAATCGAAAGGTGATCAAGGTCGATTGTCGTTCACCCTCACTTGACACTGAAGGTAAGATAAAGTTTACCAAGTTTGAGCTGAAGACGGACGATAATTTAAAGGTTATGTGGAGTTTTTTCCAGTGATACTCTACTAAGAGTCCGATTGAAGTGGATGTGAAGCTTCAAAGACCGGCAGAAAATGTTATCAAAATATTACAGTGTCCTCATCTACCCGTTTATAATAATATCTAATGTTAAATTTATGTTCAATTATCTATGTAATTTTGACTATTTATGTTAAATCTATCTTAAGTTGTTTTGGTTTTAAGGATTTTGATTCTAATACTGATTCTGCGTATTTCAGAAATGTATATAAAAAAAACTTTGATGACTTCGGATATACATCTCCGACTTTATTTGATAAAAAACTAAAATATTGTGAATTCGAATATGCATATCCGAATTTAAAGTGTATTATGAAAATTTTGTCATAGACCTTTAAAAAAGTACAACGATGTATTAAAAAAATTCTCAATATTTATTCATTCTATTTTAATTTATTTTTAATTGAAATTATATAAAATTACTTGTGAAAGCCACAACAAATTAAAATAAATAAAATCTATTAAAAAAGTCACGTGACATCGTCATACCGTTAAAAATGTTATGGCAATTTAAATTCATAAATTTGACGACGAAAATCTGTGTTGTTTTACTTGGATGTTTTTAGATTCACCTCTGTTGACATGAGACAAATTATGTATTAATCCTAGATAAAATGACAACCATAAATTCAACGCAAGAGTTAAAGACACTAAACTAATAAGCAAAAACTAAATTTGTTAAAATACACTTTGTTTTAATACTAAATTGTGCAAAAAAGATTAAAATATACGTGATACTTTGTTTTAATCCCCTTTTTATTATTAAAAAAACAGTTGCCGTTCAAAAATACGAACATTTTGAATAGTGAGTATGCAAACACAAAAAATGGACACTTGTTCTATGACATCGTATATACCATTTTGAATAGTGAGTATGCAGACACAAAAAATGGACACTTGTTCTATGACATCGTATATACATGATCTATGCAACTAAAAATCAGTTTTTTCACACTTATAAAGATAAAAGGAAAATATTACTCTATTCAAAATAATAAAAAAATTTATCCTATACTTATCACTTTAGATTATCAATACAATTTAATCTGTGTAAAATAATTAATTGTGATAAATAATATAAACTAAGAGAGTAAAAGATAAATATAATCTTATACTACTTATTCTGTTTCAAAATGAGTGTCTTTTTAACAAATAAAATTTGTTTCAAAATGAATATCATTTTCGCTTTTCAATGTAGAGATGATTATTATTTTTTCAATTATATCCTTTAATTATTACACTTTACAATACTTCCAACACATTTATAAGATTAATTTAATAAAAATATAATGTCTTACGACAATATTATTACATTTCTTAATCTGTGTACAAAAACTTTAAACGGCACTCATTTTAAAACAGAGGAAGTAACATATACCACGTTGGTGTTTTTCTTTTATGTCTAGTTATCACGCTAACATTTTTTTGGTAAAATTCACAAATAATGACCTTAATCACGAAAGATCATCAACAAAGTCGAAACCAAACAGTTTTGAGCCAACATAATTTGATATTTGACTATCCGAGTCTATCACCGTTAGCAACACCAATGTTTATTCATGAATTGGTTCTAATTAGAGAAAATGAGAAATAAGATGGTACTAGTACTATACTAAAAAACAACGAAACACTTTACAGAAAGCAATAATTATTCATTACACTGACAAAATATTGAACACTCAAATCTCAGTCAAACTAATCCATCTAAACGTCCGAAAATCAGCAGCATTACAAGAAAAAACAGCTACTATATTTTCATTCTCAAACAAAAAAAAATATTGTGGGACAAAAAAGGCTCAAACCTCAGGAAGGAACTAAGAAGCTTGTCCAATATCAACACTTTTACACAACTGGAGAAGCAAAGAACCCTCCACTAAATCTATGAACCTAACACTGGTGGTAACAATAGGAAGTGTCGCGTGACATTTCTGAACCATAAGAACGTAGCCAAACTGCTTACAAACGTGTCACAACCTCAATCTAACTTTCCTAATTGATGTATACATGATCTGTAATCCATATATGTATAACCTAAAAGCTATGATTTTATTAGAGGCTGAAGCCCATTACCTTCCCAGCCAAGCTTGAGCATTTGATCCACCACTTTCAAGCTTAACTGCAAGAAAAAAGTTACGGCATTAAATGAATATACATGACTGAAATATGTTGTCCGTATTATGTGAGGAGAAAGTACAAACATATGAAAACAGTCTCCTAATCAATCCCTTAATTATCAACTAAGAAAGGAAAACTAAATATCTCAACACATGCACAAAAAATACTTAAGAAAGATACTTAACAAAGATACTCATTGATATTTCACAAAGATACTTAAGAAGAAGATTTAACTTACAGATGGATCAGTGAAGATTATCAATTGTTTATCCAAAGTTGAAACCAAAAGATTTGTGTTATCCTGGTTAAGAGTCAGAGCTGTGATATCCTGCCCTTCTCCCAGTCTTAATACATGAGAGACCTATAAAAATTAGAATGCAAGAATGATTAGTATTGAAGAACAGTTTGCTAACGATGATAGTCAAAAGTAATAGTGAATAAATGTTGACCGATAACTAATAAGGCATGAGAAAAATGCCTTGTCTCATTAGAATTCAATTGTTGTATTTGAAAGTTCAAATCTGCAGAATACTTATATGATGATTCTCCCAATAGAAAAGGAAATAATCTTGCAAACTGTTGGTTTTTTCAGATATAATGCTTTCTCATGGTGTATAAATATGATGAGTATAAAATGGTAATTTTATCTTTGAGATTTTAATCATGTACCTCCAGAGTGTGCGTATCCAGGAAGCAAACTGATGGTGATGGAAGATCTGTTCTGTTGTTTTCGTCAGTTTCTTCTGATTCTGAATCAAAATCAACACCTGACTTGTTCAACTGTGAATTTAAACTGTTATTATATGCTCTACCATTTTCTAGAGAATTAACTCCGATCAAAGCACTCATCCCATCAACAGAAATTTGCATGCAGCTGATACTGCAAAAGAAGGAGAATTGTGCTCTTGCAATCGGAGTACCGTTGAGAGTAAAGGTACTGAGAGTATGCTGTGATTCATTCCAAGCCATCACAACCCCTTCTGATGAAAGACAGACACTATGGGCCTCCACACCATCCAATCTTCTAATTAAACGTCCTCTTCTAATGGAGTGCAAGAGGACATCTGATGAATGAGAGCAAGAAACAACTATTCCGAGATTTGAGTTAACACAACAACTGATTATTTCACTGCGGTGCCCCCGAAGTACCTGTATAGGGCCCTCAATTCGTCGTCTTCGATTCTTTTCAATCAAGTGTGATGAACTATTGCTAGTTGGAGATTGTGTGCCAGTCCCAGTGGAATGTTCTGATACGACATTCGAGTGAGACACGAGAACCCTATGTATTCTCCAGAGTAATACCGTTGCATCTCGGGATCCTGTGACTAGGTAGTTACTATCAGGTGAAAGACCAAGGCAAGTTACAGGAGCACAATGTCCATAAGCTGTTTCTAAGGTCTTAGCTCCATCTGATGATATCAACCTAATGCTATTGTCAGCATGCCCACCTAATCAATCAGAATTAAATATTTCAAATTATAAGTCAAATACACAGCTCAGAATACAAGATGAAGGGCAAATTTCTAAAACTCTATGCAACAGATGATAGGACAGAATAAATATAATTAAAAAAAAAAACTATTCCCCGGTGAAAAGGCCAAGAATAATATAAATATAAACAAAGCAAAAAATTGTTCAGATTGTGAATAATTTTTTTTAAAATTTATTAATGTTTCTATACAACAACCAAGTCTTATCCATCTAAGTGGAGTCAGCTACATGAATTACATTACAAGTCTTATCCATCTAAGTGGAGTCGGCTACATGAATTATACAACAACAACCAAGTCTCTATCAAAGATGTTTATATCCATTTCGTTAATCTTAGAATCTTTTTTAATAGTTTCACTTATGCTTTGTTTGAAAGTTTGGAGAGGAGAAGGAAGGGCTTCGGAAAAAAAAAATTAAAAATCTTTAATATTTATTGTTTTTTTCATATAGAACGATAAAAGAATGCTTATTGTTGATATTTGTATGTAGAATAGTCCCACATCGATTATATAGTGTAATTAGTTGTAATCTCTCTATATATAATAAAGTCTCCGTAGTGCTTTCATAACACACGGTTTAACCTAAATGTCTCTTAGTCTCTCCTAATTCAATATGGTATCTAGAGCCTTCTAAGAGGCAATTCTTTGTCGTGTTTTACCCGGTTGACCCACTGTCTTCCGGTAACCGGTTCCAGATCCGCCCTAGGCTTTCGTTTTCGACTCACAGAAAGTCGTACTCTCGAAAAGTCGTACACTATGCAGACTTCACCTTTTCTTCAGAACCCTACGCCAAGCTACGAGGATTTTCTCAGGTGGTGTCAGACTAACCAGACCTCTGGTTCCACGGCTTCGTTTGCACACACTGGTAATTCATCTGTTTGCATCTCTCAATCATCTCCTCTTGGTCCTTGGGTCCTCGACTCTGGTGCGTCTGATCATGTTACCGGTAATAAAAATCTTTTCTCTTCCCTTTCTACCTCTGGTTTCTTACCGAGTATAACTGCCGCAAATGGTTCTCAAACCCGATCCCAAGGGATCGGTACTGTTCAAATTCTACCATCTCTCTTTGTTACTTCTGTCCTATATGTACCCAATTGCCCATTTAATCTACTGTCAGTCAGTCGTTTAACTCGTTCCCTTAATTGTTCTATCACTTTTACTAACAGTGATGTTATTCTGCAGGATCGAAGTTCGGGACAGACGATTGGCGTCGGATGTGAGTGAGTCTCAAGGCCTTTACTACTTCTCTACGTCATCTACCACATGCTCCACCACAAATTCTCCACTCATTATACATGCGCAGTTAGGTCATCCAAGTCTTCCCAAACTACAAAAGTTGGTGCCCAGTTTATCTAAATTATCCACTTTACAGTGTGAGTCTTGTCAATTAGGGAAACATACTCGTAGTCACTTTCCTGATCGAGTCAATAAACGGGCTGCGTCTCCTTTTGCTTTAGTTCACTCCGATGTTTGGGGTCCATCGCGTACTGTGTCTACTTTTGAGTCTAGGTATTTTGTAACATTTATTGATGATTTTTCACGTTGCACGTGGCTATTTTTAATGAAAAACAGATCTGAATTATTTTCTATTTTTGAACAATTTTATCGAGAAATAAGAACCCAATTTGGTTTGTCCATTCGTACCTTAAGAAGTGACAATGCTCGTGAATATTTATCCCAACAATTTCAAACTTTTATGTCATCCAATGGTATTCTACACCAAACATCTTGTCCTCATACACCTCAACAAAACGGGATAGCCGAACGCAAAAACCGGCATCTCGTAGAAACCACTCGGACTCTACTTCTCCATGGTAATGTCCCTCTCAGATTTTGGGGGGATGCTGTGCTCACAGCGTGTTATCTCATAAATCGCATGCCCTCATCTGTCCTTAATAATAAAATCCCTCATTCAATCTTGTTTCCAAACTCTCCTCTTCATCCAATTCCTCCTCGAGTCTTCGGGTCTACATGTTTTGTGCATAATCTCTCCCCTGGTCTTGATAAACTATCAGCTCGATCACTAAAGTGTGTCTTTCTTGGTTATCATCGATCCAAAAAGGGTTATCGTTGCTACTCACACACTCTGCAACGATACCTGATATCGGCCGATGTTACCTTCTTCGAGTCTGTGCCATATTTTGCGTCCACCCAAGTCACTCCGGAACCCCTTCAGGAAAGTACTCCCACACCTCTTCCGGACGTCCCATTTCCCATTATTCCCCATCATTCTAGGGAACCTGTCCCACGAGAAACCCCTACGGTTGACCCCCCCACTTCTCGTCCACTTCAAACATATCAGCGTCGTAAACCAACGTCTGTCATACCTGTCCCTGAGGTCGTACATGTCCCTGAGGTCGTACATGTCCCTGAGGTCATTGCAGACTCTCCTCCGACGCTATCGCCATCACCGGATTCGATCCTGCAACCTGAGTCTGATCTTCCGATTGCCCTTCGCAAAGGTATACGTCAAACACGAAATCCTTCTCCACATTATATTGATTTATGCTATCATCGTCTTTCCCCTTTGCAGTATACTTGTTTGTCCTCTTTGTCTTCTGTTTCTATTCCTAAATCTCCAGGTGAAGCATTATCTCACCCTGAGTGGAGGCAAGCAATGATTGATGAAATGTGTGCTCTTCAAAGCAGTGGTACCTGGGAACTGGTTCCTCTACCCACTGGAAAATCTTTAGTAGGTTGTCGTTGGCTTTATACAGTGAAGGTTGGTCCAGATGGTAAGATTGATCGTTTTAAAGCTCGCTTGGTAGCCAAGGGATACACTCAGATTTTTGGGTTGGATTATAGTGATACCTTCTCGCCTGTAGCCAAGATGGCATCTGTTAGACTTCTTCTAGCCATTGCAGCCATTCGACACTGGCCTCTTCATCAACTTGACATCAAAAATGCATTTTTACATGGTGATCTTGAAGAGGAAGTATATATGGAGCAACCACCTGGGTTTGTTGCTCAGGGGGAGTCATCGAATATGGTTTGTAGGCTACACAGGTCTCTTTACGGTCTTAAGCAATCTCCGAGAGCTTGGTTTGGCAGATTCAGCACTGTAGTACAACAATTTAGTATGGTCCGTAGTGAAGCTGATCATTCTGTCTTTTATCGTCACTCAGTACAAGGGTGTATTTATCTTATTGTGTATGTAGATGATATTGTCATAACTGGTAGTGATGAGTCGGGAATACTCCAGTTGAAACAACATCTTTCAAATCAATTTCAAACAAAGGATCTTGGTAAACTCCGGTATTTCTTGGGTATTGAGGTAGCCCAATCTAAAGATGGTTTGGTGATTTCTCAGCGGAAATATGCTATGGATATTTTGGAAGAAACAGGTTTGTTGAACGCTAAACCAGTTGACACTCCTATGGATCCAAGTGTCAAACTACTACCCAATCAGGGGAAGCCTCTATCAGACTCGGGAAGGTATAGGAGATTGGTTGGAAAGTTGAATTATCTCACAGTCACTCGTTCAGACATTTCTTTTGCAGTCAGTGTGGTAAGTCAGTTCTTAAATTCCCCTTGTCAGGAACACATGGATGCTGTTATCCGGATTCTAAGATACATCAAATGTGCTCCAGGAAAAGGTTTAGTGTATGAAGATAAAGGACATACTCAGATAGTTGGATACTCTGATGCTGATTGGGCAGGGTCACCAATTGATAGACGATCCACCTCTGGGTACTGTGTACTTGTTGGAGGAAATCTTATATCCTGGAAAAGTAAGAAACAAAATGTAGTTGCAAGATCAAGCGCCGAGGCAGAGTATAGGGCCATGGCAATGGCAACATGTGAACTCATTTGGTTAAAACAGTTGCTCAAAGAACTTAAAATTGAAGAAGCAAGACCAATGACACTTGTATGTGATAATCAAGCTGCATTGCACATTGCTTCAAATCCAGTCTTCCATGAGAGGACCAAACATATTGAGATAGACTGTCACTTTGTCAGAGAGAAGATCGAATCCGGCGTCATCGTCACAAGCTTTGTCAACTCTAATGATCAATTGGCAGATGTGTTTACAAAATCTCTGCGAAGCCCCAGAACTAATTATATATGTGGCAAGCTTGGTGCATTTGACTTATATGCTCCAGCTTGAGGGGGAGTGTTGATATTTGTATGTAGAATAGTCCCACATCGATTATATAGTGTAATTAGTTGTAATCTCTCTATATATAATAAAGTCTCCGTAGTGCTTTCATAACACACGGTTTAACCTAAATGTCTCTTAGTCTCTCCTAATTCAATACTTATAATTAACATGTTTTTAATTTTTGAAATACTATAACAACATAAATTATATTTGAACAGTCTAAGCTCTCTAAAATCCTCTAAACCCCTCCTCCAATACAATTTTTTAGTTCCCCAAAATTAGGGAGATTTTGGTTTTTGAATGAAATAAATCCTCCAAAACCCTCCCTACCTAAATCCTTCTATTCTTTTTACTCAATTCTTCCCTTATTTTCAAAGTCCTCCCCTCTCTTCCTCTCCAAACTCTCAAACAAAATCTTCCTTTATCTCTCTACTTGTTTGACTCCTCTCTATATGATCAACTCTTCTTAAAACAAAACCTACATATTTTCTATCTACATGCCCAAACCACCTAAATTTATTTTCCATCATTTTTCTACTGTAGATGTTACCCCAAAACTCTAATACTTTTCCTGAGTTTGGGCATTTTTACCCCTAGACCATTATTTAAAACATTCATTTCTTACGCTAACTTTACTCTGAACACTTTCGTTCCACCACCACGATTCTTTACCCCTAGGTTTAAAAATCTTTTCTCCGAACGTCTCTTTAGCTACTTTTCTAATCTATTGTGCCATCTTGTTAAACATATCATTTTCACTTCCTTGTGGTTGTTTGAATCCCCCTCCAAGATCTTGTGTTGGAAACTCCTTTGTTTTTCACCCTTTAAATACTACTACTTGAGCCCGTGGAGCTCCCATGTGGCTTCTTCTCTCCGCTCTTCTCTTGATTCTTACATCCATAATCAATACTCTATGTTTGGTAGTCAAGCTCTCTCCAAGTATAACTTTACAGTCCATACAAATCTTCATATTTGACTTCTTAAGAAGAAAGAAATCTATCTAAGAACATATCACCCCACTTAAATATGATAAAATGCTTATCTCTTTTTCTTAAGCATGCATTAGATATAGTAAGATCAAAAACCCTCCTAATATGTCCATTTAGATCCTCTTCTAGAAAAAATTTCTTTCTTTGGTGTATATCCTGAAATAAGCCTTCTAAACTCTCCCAAAATTTTAAAGGTGTGTAAGCACTAATAACATTAAAGGTGTTTAGTTTCGGTACAAATTCCAGAGCTATGATCCGATCTCCTACTCTCTTTACACCCAAAATATCCTTCTTCCACTCCTTGTCTACAATGATCTCTATCCCATTTCCCGATCTAATCTTGTCGCAATACCAAAGCTTAAATCCTGAGTAGTCTAATTCTTTCATCTTTCACTCGTCCACATAATTTCTTGTAGGCACATAAAATTCATTTTCCTCCAAAGTATAGTTTCCAATATTTCCACAGATTTCTCAATAAGTTGTATATATTATATGTTCCAAAACAAATCCTACTCTCATGAACTAACTTCTTCACCCACACTCGTTCACGAAAATGTGAAAATTCTTGCTTATTTTTCACTACATCCAAGCGGCGATGCAACAACCCTTACTCATTTGACACTGCACCCGAGCTATACAAATGTTGCTTACAAAAAAAAACCTAACATTCACATTATTACGTATTTGATCCATGTAATTGAGATTCGACAAAGTTTTACGTATTTGATCCATCTTGACTGGACCGGCTATACATATATATTTTCAATATTTGGTTGATAATTTAAATAAGTTAATTTGAACTCATTTGGCGCAAAATCTTCAACACAGGTTTTGCAACAATTAGCTTTAGGAGCTACTCATACTTACAGAAAATGACTATTATGTCTATGATTTCATTATTAGGGTCAAGTGTTTAAATACAGAGATAATTGAAGTGTTTGCTCTGTTGTTTTAGCAGCTGCTTCTGCTATGGTATTTAAATGCAAATTTCAAGAAGGGTCGAAGGACAACGGTATTTCTATCCAATTCCTAGTACGCTCCTTATTCTAGTAATTGCATATTGTGGTTATAGTTTTCCTTTTCCATTTCTATTGAACAATAATGTGGCATGTACCTAAATGCTCTGCGATATCCAGTTTTCTATCTGTTTTATTTTTCCATGACTAGCAAGTGCTACTTAAGTAAACATTACAACGGAAACGTCTAGAAAATCCTATGCTTCGGGTTCACATCTAGGAGAGATTCCATATAACTGATAATTAATTATCAATGTTGCAAGCAAGAGTATAAACCAAATCCAATCACAAGATTTCTTTTCATAAAGTAAATACGAAGGCAGCATATGCAAATAATCTCAGTTCTTTTAGATTTACCAGTAATAATTTCTCTGTCACATGTTATAGAAACAATAGCTTGGCTTCTAATTCCAGAGGCAGAAAATGCTACAGCTTGTGGAAATCGCCACTCTTCACCCGATGCAGAAGGTGCTTTGAACATGCGCATAAGTGTACCACCAGCAGAGCCTGCTGTAACCTTTCTATGTTGAAAAAGAAACGGAGTTCCATGGCCATCAGGTGTATTGGGTTGCCAACTGTGTTGCGCAACATGCGCTGCTGGTGCATTTATATCAACAACCACAACCGCATCTGAAGATGCATGAATGGAAGCCGCAGGAAGATTGCAACGTTCAGGTGATGGAACAACATAGGGCTTGACTTCATTTGGGTTGCGGAATATTGTCTGATATGAAAAGAAATATATGCATCAACAATGAAGTAAATATGAAACAACTGAAGGGCATCTCATGACAAATTCATATTGTATTCACATATCTTTTACCATTGAACATGGCAACACTTTCATGAACAATAATATTCACAACATTTCAAAGATTAATAATTATGAATAGTCTTTATATTGTTTTACGAAGAATTGTTCATCTAGATTACCGAGTAGGTTTAGTGATGAAATATTAAATGAAAGAAGTTAATGGAGAGGATTTGAGAGAGGAACTAGTCCTAAGGAAATGTTTCTGAAAAGTTACTTTCTGTATTATCAATCTCTAACGTGTAGTACTTAAAAGTTAGTTATCAAGCTCTAAGTAACTCGCAGTTTGTAATGGCAAGTCAGAAATTTTAACTGACAAACTGACTTCTGGGTCACATGTATCAGCTAGAAATATAGAGTAATATGTATACAATACAGTAAACTGTAGAGAGACTACGAGACATAAACCATACATTGTAAACTGTAAATTTCACTATTGAGTTTAACAGGAAAAAAGTTATAAAAGGGAATTGCCATCGAGTTTTGTCAACCCTAGTGATATATTCTCACTAGGTCTCTTTGAAGTCCTCAGATTCGCTTTAATTGTAACAAGCTTGGTGCATGTGATTTTTATGCACCAACTTGAAGCAAAGTTTAGGGAAGCATCTCCTATTTAGGGAGAATAAAATTCATTTAGGATCCGTTTGGGAGTTTGTTTTTGGAGGGTTGCGTCTATATCTTGAAATATTGTTAAGAGTCTCACATTGGACAATATATGGCATGAACATGTGTTTATAAGTGGAGGTAATCCTCACCTTATAAGCCGGTTTTGTAGAGTTGAGTTAGGCCTAACTCACACATTCTAAGATGGTATCAGAGTCTCATCTAAGATCCATTGGGCCACCCACCATTTAGTCACACGCTCCAGACACAATTCTTGAGCATGAGACGGGATGTTAAGAGTCCCACATCGGACAATATATGACCTGAACATGTGTTTATAAGTGGAGGCAATTCTCACCTTACAAGCCGGTTTTGTAGGGTTGAGTTAGGCCTAACTCACACATTCTAAGAAATGTGTTTTATATTTTTAAAAAGTTTAAAATTGTATATGTTAAATGCTAATGTAGTATATTGTTTTTTAAAATTTTTAAAAATATCAAACATATTTCATGATATAGGCGCAACCCTCCAAAGCCTTCCTCTCTAAAACTCTCCAAAAACAAACTCTTAATGGTGTATACATTTGGTTTTTATTTGAAACGAGAAGAGAACGAAGGGAGGAGAGCACACTCAAGCATATATGCATGCTCAGTCAAGAAGTCAAGAGTCAAGATGTAATTTATCAATAGAAGCTTTCAAACCAAAAGAATTAATAGTTACCTGCAAGTGCAGAACTTCTGCTAACGGCATTTTCTTCAAGTGGGGAACGGTCAAAAGCTGGGACGGTGTTTGTCCAAAATATGCAATTTGATCTTGCGTGGCATGCTGTTGAACCTTTACTTATCATGTACAAAAGAAAATAGTAAGTTACATAAACATGGTAAAAAATCAATAAAGGAGGTTCCTTGCAAATGTTTTCCAAATTCAATTTTAAGACAAATCTCTAATGCAAAACGCTTTCGCATATTTTTTCCACAAAATTATCTTCATGTATGTGCATCTAATAGCTTATATTTTGAGATGGTTGGTTAATGGCATGGAGTTAGATCCCATATGACCCTAGTCTAGAGTCTGACCAATTCTTCCTCCATTATTTTGATAAAAAAATTGAATTTCCACAAGGTAGGCAAGGCAAGCCTATGCATTGTAAACGATTCAAGCCCTATGAGGGTTGTCTAAGAGATGCAACATAACTTCATCTGTGTTTTCACCAAACAGTTTAAGCTTTTGGGTTAGTTGTTCATGGCAATATCAAGGCTTTATATGATAATTAAAGACTTCATAAGAAAATGCCTGCGGTACCAGTCACATCTACCACAATAACAAATATGTCAAATAGATTTCAATCAAACCCCGCTCTACTTTGAAAGATAGTTTTCCGAGAAAAAAATCAACACCTCAAATTTGTTGCCTTCACTTTTAAAAGAACGAAAAATAATATTGAATTGCTTAGTTTTCATCCATAAGAAAATAGGAGCAAAGCTGGACCCAAGAGTTCAATGGAACTTTCATCTGGTTTAGTGAGAATATCATAGTTATAGGTTTAGGTCAAAACAGGGTGTGCTCCAAAGTCCAAACACCAACTCTATCATTGTTGCTGCCCGTGCTACTCCTTGGAGTATACCCCTTTTGAAATGAATTATAAGCAAAAATAACTAATATTTCGTGGAATGAAAAATAAGTTAATATGAAAGGCTTCTTTCCACTTTAATGACAGTATCTCTAAAATACTCGAAGTTTAATTTAACTTTATGTATTTCCAATCACTCAATTTATTAGTCTAAGAGCAACTTACGCAATTGACTAATTTTTTTTTATTGAATTTGAACTGATTAAATGGGATCAAATACATTTCTTAAAATGCATAGTTTAGTCTAATTTTGCTTATATTTCATTTAGGAGAGATACCTCTCAAGTAAATACTTCTTGGAAACCTATGCTTCCTCTGGGTATGAGCATTGGTTTAAAATCCGGACCATTTCGGCCGGTTGACATGTGGTGCATGTTATACAAGGCGTCACAAACAACTCTTTCATCTTAAAGGTATTATGTGTTGCTCTGGTTCTGAAAAAAGTTGGCATTTGTACTGACAGTGTAAGGCAATGGCTTTCTTATGCAACAACTTGTTGGAAGTGCTGGGTAAATAATAAAGGTACATAATCCAAGAAAATGGAAGAAAACATGGGAAATTGAGAAAACAAAGAGATCCCACCACATTGCCAGAGGGTGGTGGTTTCGGTCAATAGACTTGCGCAATTACTTTTCTGGCGGTGGCTGATGGTGGCCAGAAAAAAGTTTTGAGTGCAGTAAGATACATACAATCATGAAATTCAGAAATCAACGGTGGTGACTGGCTACCAAAGAAGGAGATGGATCATGGAGAAAGATAAGCATCATGGATGACAACATTATTTTGGCAGAGTTTCAAAGTTTATAGAGCTCAGTAACATAATAGTGATAGGATAAGTCACAGAGGTTTGTACGGCTCTGATACGATATTGAAGGTATGGTGGGTTTCAGAAAGCACAGAAGAGAAACAAATAAATACTTTGAATCATAATTATGGTTTGATGATAAATCAATGAACTATGCACCAAACTTTACTTATACTAATTTTAGATAAATCAATTAGGGAAACTAATTAGAATAGTAACAGAAAAACATGAAAACCAATCCTGAGAGATGATCTAAAATATTCTATGGTAAAATTGTGATACTATAAGATACTTTCTAATTATTTAACAAATTAGTTATGCCAACTATATCAAACATGACTGATGTTAGACCTTAGGAATTAATTACTAGGAACCAAAAACGAATGTGGCTGTTCTGTTCTATCATGCAGTTACTTTTTTATTAGCTATTACTACCTCTGTCCCTAATTATGTCCCTAATTATAAGACCCTTTTGAATTATTTTTCTTGTCCCTTTTTATAAGACTCTCTTCAACTTTCAAAGTGCATTAATTATTTGTTTCCAAACATACCCCTAATTATATTACATCTTTTTCTGCAATATGTAATAAATACACTTGTATAAACATTAATTATTTCTCTCTTCTAAGGATATACTTGTAAAATTGTACAAATAAATAAATTTAATACTCTAACCAACTTTCTTAATTAGCGTAATTTAGTCTTCGGGGTCTTATATTTAGGGATGAAGGTAATACTGTTTTTAATATTAAAATTTATTCGGAGTGTGTGAATAAAATGAGGAAACCGTAGGTTAGATGGATCATCCGGAAAATTAGAAGAGGTCTCTGAAGCATGGGTACTTCTATAATTATGAAGTACCGGTACCAGGTATTTAACTATACCAAGTACACGTACTATACTCACAGTACTTCATTTTATCTTATTATTGCGCTTTAAGTGAAATTTATAGTTTTTTCATATATTAATAGATTTATGTATTTTAGTTTCTTTGTTGTAGTAACTTAACACAATTTTTGTTTTTTTATACTTTTATTGTTTTATTATGAATTGAACAATATAGTTCTCCAACAATACATATTTTAGAAAAACCTTAATTTTTATAGACATACCCATACCTTGGTTTTTTTTAAAATGCCGTATCAAGTACCAGGTACCTATAGGTTATTTGGAAGGGAGAGACAAAGTTCTCGAATTCTTAGAGGAGTGAAACCAAGACTCTAGAAACTCTTGGATAGTAATCCTTTATCTTTTATTCTATATATGTCAAGATTGTGAGTGTTGTGTCTTTCTATTGAACAACATATTCTATCATCAATAACAGTGAATAGATTATATGATATATTTATATTTGATACTAGTTTCTATCATATTAGTAATGTGAAGTTATTGCAGACTTGATATCACATGTTTGATCGTGCAGATCAGCGCATATTTCGTTCCCAATTATTAGAATATTTCTATTTATCATTAGGATCAGATTTTATTCACGTTTTCTTTATTATATCCAATCAATCCTAAACCTAAGGTGTAGAATTTTTTTTGTAATTATCATATCTAAGCAGTACATATCCTGCTGAATAATATAATATATTTGCCCGCTACTTTTTACAATTAGATTGCCACAAGGTATGTAAGTTAAACCTGTTGGTGCTTAATAAATTTGTGTTTAATATCAATAAAAGCCTTGGTGGTAAATAAGGCTTTCTCCAACTTGATTGATGAAAAAATAAGGCCAAGTATTTATCTGAATATGGATTGCTCTGCGTTATCGATGGACTCGGAGTAGGATGCATGCATAAAATATGATTTAGTATTAACTATAATGAAGAAGGGAATCATCAAATATCAACTAAGAAATGTGTCATTTTTTAATGAGCATTCTGAGGGGTGGCATTTTGCTCAGACAAATAATTGAGTTGAAAGTATATGAAGTAAAGGAGACATACTGGGTCAGAGATTTTATCAATATCCACCGTCCCTTCATAGGTAATATAAAAGAAAACATTATTTGCTGCAACAGCTTCTTTGCCCCGTTGTTTATACCTGCATAGTCCAACTAATTGATGAAACAAAAAGTACAATACAAAGGAACTACTATAAAATTCATATTTCATAAAATTAGCAAACTTATGAAAAAGAGGAAAACATTAAATGATAGGAAGAAGCAGTCCAGAGCAGGGGGCAAACATCAACACCCTAAAAACGGGGTGAAACTGAAAAATAGTTAGAAGCCTACCCAAATATAAGATCAATCCACTCATGTAAATGAGAAGATACGTATTCACTCTCCAGAGCCTTCCGATGCTTATGAATAAAATCAACTGGATTTTCAGCCCATGCGGGAAGTTTTACGGTATCTGGTATGGCAGAAATGAACTATTAACCATGGTTTGCATTGAGTATACAATGAAGTCAAACTACTACAGAAAATCTTAATTAATATACCGAGCTTTCCTCCCAATTGTGTTGTGCCAAAATCAATTGAATTTTCATTTGTGAGGACTTCAGGTTGGTAAAATAGCTCAGGGACCTAAAAAAGCATAAATGAGGAAAATAAAACCATGATAAGAATTAATATTAATAAAAATATTAAATCTTGTTAACGATATTCAAAAAGAAGCTAGCCAAGGTAATGACCCAGTCATTTTTTTGTAAAGGAATATACATACCAATTCCTTCACATCACTCATGTCCTCAAGAACTCCATTCCAAGTACCAGAAATATCAGAAAACATTCGATCTGCATGGTCAAATTTTCCACCTTGCAGTTGAATAGCAAGGGTAGTGAATGGTTCAACCCTAACAAGATAATATAAAACCTATAAAAAGAAGATAATAGACACTAGTTATTGCAAAATCAGAAACTAAAAAATTCATCAAAGACAACAGTATTATATTACTGGAGAATTACTTTTCCTGTTCTGGAATGGAATAAAAATAGAAAGTTAAAACCAGGCATCAGAAGTCACGGTGGTCCAATACACACAAAAAGGGAGGCTTGAATGCAATAGCAAAAAGAAACTAAACAGACAGCAAAATATAAAGAAAGCATAAGTTTAAGGTTGATATTCTTTCAGATGTTACGTTTCGTTTTGGGTTATAGAATTCTTTATGGTGTTTGCTTATGTGTAAGTAATTGGATTTAAGTTGCTTAAATGTTACCATTCCTATTGTACCATTATTAGCAAGTATATTTCTATACGGGATCAGACATGCTTTCCCTTATTTCAAAAAAAGAAGATATATGAAAAGGGTGTAAAACAATTTTTAAGACGATTCGTTTGGCCTTGCTCTACCCCAAAAACTAGTTCATGGGGTGAGAGTTATAGATTGTTGGGAGGAAAGACAGAATACGGCAGATAAAATCATCAAAGAAATTGCTTAGGTGGTCCCACTTTTCCGTTGCCTCATTGATTTTGGATTAGAGCCTATGTCAATCCTAACAGGCTCACAGGGCGAGGATTGCCTCCACTTTTAACAATTGGCCATGACATATCACTGTCCATGTGGGACTCTTAACAAGAACTGATGGATAAAAATATATTTTAATAAGGATTGTTTCATGGCTATAATTCAGTAAAATGCTTTCAAATTGATTGCATAATCAACCCAGGATGTGCGGTACCTGAGAAATCATAGACCGATTTCTATTAAGATTCTTATGAACAAGGTTTTCTATGAAATTACAGCCTTTACTGACCTACAATATTTAGTGAACAATCAAAACCTAAGTGGGCACTTGCTTGAATCTGGCCTGGTTTTAACCTTAAAATAAAAATCTGCAAAGGTACCGTTAAAATAACCTATACAGCCTCCACTTCCAATCATTGTTTGTGTTATTCCTTTACAAGCTTAAGTAAGCTTATACAGATTACTTACAGAAGAAACATAAAACTTATACAGATTACATCATATGTCTTAGATATTGAGTTGGATCTAACTCAACCTCACAAAAAAGACTTGTAAGATAATAATTGTCTCACTTATATAAACTCATGTTCCGGCCATATCTCTTTCAATATGGGACTTTCTAACATACAGCCTCTCTCCTAGGACAAGACATCTGAAGCATGACCTGAGTAGTCCGATAGCAAGACTGGACATCTGAGGTGTGACCTAAGTAGTTTGATAGCAGAAAACTTATGGGAAGTGGCCCAACAAATCTTGGATAGGCTCTAATGTCCATTTAGAATTTGGATTAGACCTAACTCAACCTTACGGCTTGTAAGGTAATGATTGTCTCTCACTTATAAACCCATGTTGATGCCATATCTCTTGTAATGCGAGACTCTTAACACGGTCTTTTATCTGTAGTCCTATATTAGTATATTACATACATCGACAGATGAAAGCCAAAACAATCCACTTAAAAATGGAAAATTCTATGTCTATCGAATGACGTGTCAGATAATTCCACTTGCTCCATTACTTAAGAACTTCTGGGTATTGAGTCAAATAAAAAGGGAACTGATTTGTACTTTGCCAAGCTCCTGTGTTTTCCGCAAAAAAGTGAATTTTGATTGGCAAGCCTAATAGAATCAACTTAGTATCTTAAATACAGTAAATAGAAAGTAAGAGAATGTAGTAGAAAAGTTCTGATTTTTATTGAAAATAACTAGAGTTCATATGGAATCTAGTTGTACAATCAAAGCAGAAAAAAACACAGAAAGCTGCAATAAAGTATGCAGAGAAAAGAACCTTACATACCTAGGAGGATATTCTCCACTAATTTTTGCGTACCCACAAAAGGGTGGGTGTTCAATCATTTATTGATTCACTCCTAGATTCTATGACCACTCAGCTGGCAAACTTTGTCCTATTCTCTCTCTCCCCTTCTTACCTTTTCTCTCATAGAACCTTCCATACCTACCAACTCTCCCCCCTTCAAAACCTTCCTTGACCTCAAGGAAGAATGCTGGAAATTCTTCTTGTAACTTTTCAGCTAATTCTCAAGAATTCTCAAAATCTAGAAGATTTTTCCATTTCACCAATATCTCTCGATCCCCTTGATCATTCCTCCAATAGTCCATCCCTTTCTCAGGAATAGGTTCTAGGTATCAATCTTCATTCATGCAATCTGGCAAAGGTTGGGATTCAGCAGAAAGCATAGCTTTCTTCAGTAATGAGGCATGAAACACAGGATGCACTCTTTGTGTCTTCAGGCAGCTTAAGCTTATAAGCCACAACTCCAATTCTTTGGATTACTTCATAGGGTCCATAATATCTAGGATTGAGCTTCTGATTCAATCTTTTGGCTAACTTCTTCATCTTATAAGGTTGAATTTTTAAGAAGACCGTATCCCCTACTTCATAGTCCACCTCCCTTCTATGCTTGTTAGTTTGGCTTCTCATCACATCTTGAGCCATTAAAAGCTGCTCTTGCAGTTCCTTGATCATCAAATTCCTTTCTATTGTCAACTTACTGACTTCATCAAGAGCAGATCCAGGGGTATCTCCTCTAATTAGCACAGGAGGAGTTCTTCCATATAATGCCTCAAAGGGGGTAGTTTTCAAGGGTGCATGGTAGTTGGTGTTGAAACAATATTCTGCCCATGCTAACCACTTAGGCCATCGCTTAGGTTTAAGCCCAGTCACACACCTTAAATAAGTCTCTAAGCATCTGTTTACTACCTCTGTTTGGCCATCAGATCGAGGATGGTAAGCACTACTATACTTCAGCTTAGTCCCTGCCAATTTAAAAAGTTGTGCCCAGAAATTACTAAGGAACACTTTATCTCTGTCATAAACTATGGAACTAGGAAATCCATGAAATCTGATCACTTCCTGAAGAAAAACTTCAGCAATACTCTTAGCTGTATAGGGATGGCTCACAGGGAAGAAATAGGCATACTTGGTGAGTCTATCCACTACCACCATGACAGGATCTACTCCTTGCACCTTGGGCAACCCTCCAATAAAGTCTATAGAGACATCAATCCAGACTTGTGTGGGGATGGGTAAGGGCTGCAATAATCCACCGGGTGTCAAAGTTTGATACTTATTCCTTTGACACACTTCACATGCCTGAACATACTCTTGGATTTTCCTTCTCATGCCCTCCGAATAGATGACACTAGCAATCCTCTTGTAAGTTCTGAGATATCCAGAGTGCCCTCCTACTGCAGTATCATGGAATTCATTAACAATCTAATTAATTCTAGGGGATTCTCTAGGTACTACTATCCTTCCCTCATGGTACAACCTTCCTCCTTTCATCCGAAACCCTTTTTGACTGTGAGGATCTATTAACAGAGCTTGGACTATTCTCCTCAACTTTTCATCCTTCTGTACTTCATCCTCCAATCCCTCCCAAGCATCACTCTGTATGGTAGTTATGTGGGAATATTGCATCTCCCTGGAAAGAGAGTTTGCTGCACTATTTTCCCTTCCAGACTTATACTTCACCTCAAAATCATACCCCAGCAGTTTTGATAACCATTTCTGTTGATTTTCTCCCATCACCCTCTGCTCAGTTATAAACTTTAAGCTTTTCTGATCAGTGTGTACCTTAAAATGCCTGATTTTTGTTGGGCTTTATCAGTTAAAGTCTGGCTCATGTATGACACAGGTCTTCCTTCCTGCACCAATACTACTCCTATTCCCTTACCAGAAGCATCTGTTTCCAGCACAAACTCCTTCTCAAAATCTGGCATGGCCAACACAGGAATGGTGGTCATGGACTCATGGCTATCTTCAATTCATCAAAAGCCACTTGTGCTTCAGGACTCCATAGGAAAATGTCTTTCTTAAGTAACTGAGTGAGAGGCCATGCTATTTTCCCATAGTTTCTTACAAACTTCCTATAGTAACCCGTTAAACCCAAGAATCCTCTTGACCCTTTTAAGTTCTTAGGAACTGGCGACTTGATCATATCCTCTATTTTCTTGGGATCTGCTGCCACTCCTTGTCCAAAAATTAAATGTCCCAAGCATTCTACTACTCCTTGTCCAAAAATTAAATGTCCCAAGTATTCTACTTCTTTTTGACCAAAAGAGCATTTCCTCTTATTAGCAAACAGTTGGTTGTCCTTCAACACTTGCAATATCATAGTTAAATGCTCTTGGTGTGCCTCCTTACTCCTGCTGTAGATGAAGATATCATCAAAAATACCAAGCAAAACTTCCTTAGAAAAGGCCTGAGTACTTCATTCATGAATGCTTGGAAAGTAGATGGAGCATTTGTCAGACCAAAAGGCATGACAAGATACTCCTAATGCCCTTCATGAGTTCTAAAGGCTGTCTTAGCTATATTCAGATCCAATTTGGAAAAAATGTCTGCTCCTCCCAGTTCATCTAATAATTCCTCAATGATAGGGATAGGAAATTTATTAGGTATGGTTACCTTGTTTAATGCCCTGTAATCAGTGCAAAATCTCCACCCACCATCCTTCTTCTTAACCAGCAAAACTGGACTTGAAAAAGGGCTGGTATTGTGCCTTATAACTCCTGCCTGTAACATCTCTCCCACGATCTTTTCTATTTCATTTTTCTAATAAAAAGGATATCTATAAGGCCTTAAGTTAGGAATTGCAGCATTAGGTTTTAACAGGATGGCATGATCATGTTCCCTCCTAGGTGGAAGGCATGCAGGTAAATTAAATACTTCCTCAAATTTACTCAAGGTACCTCTCCATTCTATTAACTCAGTATCATCTTCTGTTGTAGCAGTCTTTAAGGATTGCACATAAAATCCCATTCCTTCATCTTTCAAGGCTTTCATCATAGCTTTCATAGAAGCTTGTCGAGTGCACAAGGCAGGGTCACCTTGTATGCAATATTTCTGACCCTCCCACTCCCAAGTAAGACATAGTCTCCCAAAGTTAGCTTCTATGTTACCCAAATTAACCAGCCAGTCCATCCCCAAGATCATATCAGTCCCTTCTAACTCCATTAAAAAGAAATTTTGGCTGAATTCTACCCCTTGCATAAGGAACTTCAACCCTTCACACACTCCATGATATTTAAGCCCCTCTCCATTTCCCACCTCAATTACATAAGGAGGTGTTTCTACCAGCTCTAACCCCATCTTTTCCACCACTTTAGCATCAATGAAATTGCTAGTTGCTCCTGAGTCAATTAATGTCAACAGTTCCCTATCCTTCATTGTTGCCCATACCTTGAAAGACTGATTAGAAGTGAATCCTTCCTTACTTTGCAGGGACAGTTGCAAAGTCTTCAATTCCTCAACTACTTCCACCAAGTTTTCTGTTTGCACACGCTTTCCGCCTGTTTCCTCTTCCTCATCACTGTTATTCTCACATAATTTTAAACGCATATGTTTGAATTTGCATATATGCTCCCTATTCCACTTGCCCCCACACTTAAAACACAATCCCTTTTTGCTCCTCTCTTCCAGCTCTGCAGGGGTTTAACCTTCTGCCCTTGTATTTTTCATTCCCTCCACTACTGACTTTTTCTCCCTCTTTAGATCTTCCAATTCCTGCAGGATCTCTAATCCTCTTTGTTTTAAGCTCAACAAAGGTCCCATCGGGTTATGCAGCAAACCCGGTTGGAATCTTCTCATCACAGCCACCTTAAACTCCTCCGAAGTCTTCAATGGCACCTGCTCCTCCCACCATTGGTACCAGTTCAGAACCTTGTCTTCCATAGCAAGCACCATTGCATCTAATTAGTCACGCATCCTCACCCCATTGAGGTGAAAATACCTCTCAACGCGAACCAGCCACCCATACACGTCCTCTCCTTTGAAGATTGGAATTTCCAACCTTCGTCTACTTCCCATGAAACGAGATGCGTTTCCACCATTAAAACGGCGGTTTCTGGGTCCGGATTCTCGCGAACAAGTGCTTTGTCCGCTTCCTTCATCTTCATCGCCAGATCTTCCGTGAATCCGACCCGGTTGCTCTTGAATCAGCTGGCTGATTTGATCCACCGTGACTTGTGGTCTCGCCTGCTGCTCCATCACCAACACTTGAATCTGCTCCATTGTTCCTTTAAAGTTGTTCATCCGTTGTTCCATGGTATCTACTCAGTTCTCCATGATGCGTCTTGTAACAACCATTCACAACGAAACAAAAACCAAGACTCTAGATACCAAATTGATAAAATCAACTTAAATCTTAAGTACAGTAAATAGAAAGTAAGAGAGTCTAATAGGAAAGTTCTGATTTTTATTGAAAATAACTAGAGTTCATATGGGATCTAGTTGTACAATCAAAGCAGAAAACAAACGCAGAAAGCTGCAACAAAATATGCAGAGAAAAGAAAATAGGATTAGAGGCACTTAGAGAGGCCTGTACTCTCTCCTAGGAGGATATTCTCCACTAATTTCTCCGTACCCACAAAAGAGTGAGTGTTCAATCACTTATTGACTCACTCCTAGATTCTATGACCACTCAGCTGTTGCCAACTGTACATCCCATGTGCCATTACTAACAAACTTTGTCCTATTCTCTCTCTCCCCTTCTTACGTTTTCTCTCATAGAACCTTCCATACCTACCAAAGCCTTCAATCATGACGCTTGTTGTGATTATTCTATTCGCTGGAAATAGCATCTGCCTTAAAATATGTATGAATATGATCAATTAAAAGGCTGTTATTACAATAGCATGGTACAGTAGCTTTTTGATAATCATTTGCCCCAAGGGCAACATATCCCACCTTAGGATCAGTTAATAATTATGAATAATTTGTCTCTTCAATTACATTAATATGTTGGAAGAAATAAGCCAGCAATTGCTGGCCATACACACTTTTCTCGTATATATATAAAACAAGCACCGCAAATGTGAAATTTGCTGAAGTTAACAAGTTAAAATTAGCACCATTTTGAATTAAACTATATGTGCACAGCATTGATGTGAAATGAAACTGAGTAAGCAAATTATCTGCCTAGGACTCAAACATTATCAAAGATACCAAAAGAACCTATCAGTCAGAGTGCTAATAAACTGTAATGATCAAGAATGACTCCTAATAAAGAAGAGGAGACTCACCGTTCCTGCACTCGAGTAGTGTGAGCCATAGTGGAATTTAGGGATGACTGGATCATCAAAGCTAGCATATCTCTCTTGAAATCTTTTCAGACGGTCTGGGTTCAGCGCCCCAACAGGCTGCATCGTATCAAAAAATTAAATTGTAAACTTACATATAATATAAATTTAATACATGTTTTTATTTAATGTGATTAAAGCAATGAAATACATAACACCTTTGAAAGGTCTCGAAAAGAAGAAGGATTTGAAATATCCAAGCTCTCTGAATCGTAATCAGAAAGAATCCAGGGGAACACCGGATACTGCCAAGAGGTAACTAATGATCAATAAAAATAGGACTAATATATATACACACACACATTGAGAATACATCAGTCATATATACAAGGCTAGAAAGCTATTTTAGAAAATACAATAACACCTAAACTATCAGATCCCTATGATTCAAGGATATTTCCTTCATACACTATAATTGTGATCTGCTAAATAAGGAAATAATACAACTAATAAAACATTGATTCTGACATAAATAATACAGCTAATAAAACAGATTCTAACACTCCCCTTCAAGCTAGTGAATAGGTATTTTCCATTCCCAGCTTGGAAACAATCTTCTCAAAGTTGTTGCTATTCAGCCCCTTCGTTAGAATATCTGCAAGGTTGTCTTGTGAGGAGACATATGGAGTGCAGATCAGGCCACTGTCTAATTTTTCTTTGATAAAATGTCTGTCAACTTCAATATGTTTGGTTCTATCATGCTGAATTGGATTATGAGCTATGCTAATAGCAGATTTGTTATCACAATAAAGTCTCATTGGTTCATCCAACTTTATTCTTAAGTCTTCAAAGATGATCTTCAACCACAATAGTTCACATATCCCTTGTGTCATTGCCCTAAACTCTGCTTCAGCACTGGATCTAGCCACCACACTTTGTTTTTTACTCTTCTAGGTCACAAGATTCCCTCCAAGGAAAGTGCAATATCCTGTAGTCGACCTCCTATCCACAATCGACCCTGCATAGTCTGCATCTGTAAATGCTTCAAGACTTACACTCCTATTCCGTTCAAACAGAATTCCTCTGCCTGGGGTCCCTTTCAAATATTGCACAATTCTTAGTGCAGCTTGTAAGTGAACCTCCTTCGGTTGGTGCATGAACTGGCTGACTAGACTCACAGCGAATGCAACACCAGGTCTAGTGTGAGATAAATATATCAGTCTACCAACTAGTCTTTGATACATTTCCTTGTCAACTGCAGTATCTTCTTCTGCATTTCCCAACTTCAAGTTTGGATCAATTGGTGTACTTGCAGGCTTGCATGCTGTCTTACCAGTCTCTTTCAACAAATCAGTGATGTATTTCTGTTGAGATATGAAGATTCCCTTTTTAGAATGAGCCACTTCAATTCCCAAAAAATACTCAATTTTCCCAAGGTCTTAATTTCAAATTCCTTGGCAAGATGTTGGCTTAACAGTTGTTGCTCCTCCTCATCATCACCTGTCACTATAATATCATCCACATAAACCAGTAACACTGTTACTCCCCCTGACTTAGATTCAATGAACAAAGTGTGGTCTCCTTGACTTTGTTTAAAGCCCAGACCTATCATAACTTTAGTAAACCTGCCAAACCACGCTCGTGGTGATTGTTTCAGCCCATACAATGCCTTTTTTAGCTTGCAAACAGTGTTGGCAGCAGTCTTTCCACCATATCCAGGGGGCAATTCCATGTAAATCTCCTCTTCAAGTTCTCCATGGAGGAATGCATTTTTAACATCAAATTGTTGCAAGTTCCAACCATAATTAACGGCTAGGGATAGTATCACCCTAACTGTATTCATTTTTGCAACTGGAGCAAATGTTTCCATGTAATCCACTCCATAAGTTTGAGTGAATCCCTAGTTACTAACCTTGTTTTATACCTCTCAATGGATCCATAAGCCTTGTATTTCATAGTATATACCTATTTGCATCCTACTGATTTTTTTTCCATTTGGGAGATTAACCAAATCCCAGGTGCTATTCTTTTTTAATGCTTCAATTTCCAAGTCCATTGCTTGTTTCCTTTTCCTATCAGTCAATGCCTCAGATAAGGAGGTAGGTGTGGTTGTAGTGTTTAGGCTTGTGAGGAAGGCTTTATAGGTAGGTGAGAAGTTTTTAAATGATAGGTAATTGGCTAGAGGGTAAAGTGGCTTGGTGATACATTTCCTAGTCTCTTTCCTAAGGGCAATTGGAATATCTAGGTCCTCATGAAGTGGTGCTGAAGTGGATTCGGGTTCCTGTACAGTGGGGAAATCAGAGATTGATTCAGTGGAGATTAAAGGATCAAGGGTAGTTACCTCATGTAATGTTGGGTTGGATTCTTGGACATGGACAGATTCTGGAATGGCCTTTGTCTTCTTTGTATAAACTAGCTTTTTCCCAGATCTTACATCAGCTCCATCTTGAGTGGACTTAGTGGGTTGAGCCTCTTTCTCAGAAGTTGCCTCCTTCTCAGAAGTTGTTACACTTCTAGTCCCTACTTCTGGTCCTAAACTTAAGTCAGGGAGCATAAGGAGATCATCTTCCTTTCTTGTATTCTCCCCCTGAAGATGATCTTGGTGGAAGTAACTTTCTTGCTCAAAAAAGGTGACATCTCTGGACACAAAGAATTTTTTGGATGGTGGGTGATAGCATTTATATCCCTTTTGTGTGGATGAGTATCCTATGAAAATACATTTTAAGGCTCTAGGATCAAGTTTACCTCTATCACCACTGTGGAATGGATAAAAGATACACACCCAAATATTCTTGGAACAAGTTGATTGGATGTGGACACATTAGGATAGAAAGAAGAAAGAACCTCCCTAGGACTTTTTGAGGCTAGAATACTAAAAGGTAGTCCATTAATTAGATAACATGCAGTCAAAACAGCTTCCCCCCAAAACCTTTTAGGAACCTTATGTTGAAAAAGAAGAGCCCGAGTTTGGTCTAGTAGGTGTCCATTTTTCCTCTCAACAATCCCATTTTGTTAAGGTGTTTTGACACAAGATGACTCGTGAATGATACCTTCCTTTTGACAAAAGGAAATAAGCTCATGATTAAAGTAATCTTTGGCATTATCAGATCTAATCCTCTTAATGCTAACACCAAACTGATTTTTTACCATGGAGAAAAAATGTTGGACCACAGAGCTGACTTCGGACTTTTGTTTTAGTAAGAAAACCCATGTGACCCGAGTACAATCATCTATAAAGGTAAGGAACCAACTGGCACCAGAAACATTTGGGACATTTGAGGGACCCCACACATCAGTATGAATTAAATAGAAGGGGAAAGTGCTCATGTTATTACTAACTGGAAAAGGTACACGCTTGTGCTTAGCAAGCTCACACACTTCACAATGAAGACTCTCCACATCTAATTTGCTACAAAGAGAAGGGAATAACAATTTTATGACTCTAAAGGAAGGATGTCCAAGACGACAATGATGTAGGAGGACTTTCTCCCTGTTGGTCTTTATTGAGTCAGAGAAAAAAGAGTTGTTATTTTGTAGGTCTGGTGGCAGATTCGGGTTGTCCAAGTAATAAAGGCTATTCCATTCTCTAACATGTCCAAGCGTCCTCCCCGAGTGCTTGTCCTGCAGTATACAAGCATTGTCATAAGAAATAACATTACATGATAGGTTTTTATGAGTTTTTTTATGGAAATCAGACTGACGGATAGTTTAGGGATATGAAGGACATTTTTAAGGGTTTTGGATGAGCTTATTTGAACTTCTCCTTGACCTGCTGCAGTCATCAGAGTGCCATCTGCTGTGAATATTTTCTTATTGCTAGGGCAAGGGGTGTAAGAGGAGAAATGTTTAGGTAGGGGTGTCATGTGGTCAGTAGCCCCAGAATCCAGTATCCAATATTGGTTATAGTGTTTATCTGAGGCATTAAGTCCAAAGGAAAGAAGAAACTCACCAAACGTACCTGAATATGCTAGAGAACAACTACCTGTTGGTTTATCCAACTTGTTGAGGAATGATCTCATCTTCTCTACTTCATCTTGGTTAAGTTGAATCACTCCTCCCTTGTTTTCTTCACTGGTTGCAGCAACTATGTGTGCTTGTCCTCCCTTTCTTGTGTTGTCTTCTTTTTTTCCCCACTCCCTGTCTTGGTTTTAGGGCCCCCATTCTCTACTAGGTGGCTTTCCGATCAGCTTCCAACAGTTGTCACAAGTGTGGCGAGGCTTGTTGCAGTAGGTACACCACACTCCTTCACCTTTCTTTTCCATATTACTTATGCCCCCCTTTTTCTGGTCTGCCATCATGGCCGAGACCCCAGAAGCTACCATGGCTGAATCTTCGTGGTTAGGTTTTCTAGCATGACTCCCTTCTGCTTTCTTCACTTTTGACCATAGCTACTACTTCATTAATTCCTGGAACTTTTTCTTTTCCAAGGATCTGGGCTCTCACTTGATCAAAAACAGAGTTAAGCCCCACCAAGAAATCATAGACTCTATCTTGCTCAATATACTCTTTGAGCATTGCTGAATATGCTTGGCACTTGGCTTTTATGACCCTGTAGTGATCTAACTCCATCCACAATGATTTGAGTTGATTGGCGTACTCTGTAACAGTCTTGTTTCCCTGTTTTGCAGCCATAGTCTTCACCTTCACGTCATATATTTGAGCAGCATCTTTAGCTTTGTAGTATGTCTCCTCCATGGCCTTCCAAATCTCCTTTGCAGAATTAAGAAACATACAAGTATCAGTGATTTCTGGGATCATTGAGTTCCATAGCCATGCCATGATCATAGAGTCCTCTTCGTCCCATTTTTTAAATTTGGGGTCTCCTTCTTTAGGGGCGTCATCAGTCAAGTGGTTAGCTTTCCCTTTACCTTTCAAAGTTCTGCCAACAAGCTGGGACCATTTCAAGTAATTCTTCCCATTCAATCGGTAGGCAGTGTTGATGTTCTGCAGCTCTTCCTGAGTTTTCTGCACCACTTCATGAGTTGGGTTTGCCATGGCCACAGCAGTACAACAACCTCAATGCAGTGAGGATGTATTTGATTGTTGCGACGACAACAAAGGAATAACACTGCAAATCACAGCAGCAATGAAGGCTGCCTTGAAAGGAATGAAGGACAGCAATGAAGGTTGTACTAAAAAAGGATGATTGGCAGCAATGAAGGTTGCCGTCTAAGGTTTTGGTTTGCACAGTCAGAGGCGGCTCCCAGAATTTGAGAGCTCTGATACCATCTCAAAAATTAGGGTAGAATGAATTGATTTTTTTATATCTTTTATGCTGAGAATACATCAGTCATATATACAAGGCTAGAAAGCTATTTTAGGAAATACAATAACACCTAAACTATCAGATCCCTGTGATTCAGGGATATTTCCCTCATACACTATAATTGTAATCTGCTAAATAAGGAAATAATACAACTAATAAAACACTGATTCTGACAGAAATAATACAGCTAATAAAACAGATATATATATATATAGAGAGAGAGAGAGATCACCTGGGTAATATCATTATAACTACGCCCAGCCAGTGTATTGAGTTGCATTAAATATTCAAAATTGCTGATCTGCACAAGGAAAGTAAACAACTCATAAACTATGCTATTATAATATAGACTAGTTTTCTTCATTAATTAAGAATCTTACCTCCCACCTAGCCCAGCGCTCCATAAGTTGAGTTCTTTTCAAAAGTTGATCAGGTCTCTGCAACAAGAAGGTACTACTTCTTTAGGTTTTTGAGCTACAACATGCAGCATAAAAACTATTCCAGAAAATAAAAATATAACATGATTACAATTGGAAAATTGCAGTAACATCAAAATAAAAAATTTGTCTACTTCATTCACGTTTACTCCAATCATAAGCCCATATACAGAGAAGGTAGCACAAATAAACAGTCCGAGAACCTGATTATTACCTGAGTAGCCAAATATATATTGTTTAAATGAGGAGGTCGTGCTTGAACAATTGCCCGATATGCATTTCTTCGCCCTTCACTACTCTAAAGAAGAATTGGAAGGCAGATGTTAGAAAGATAGTGAACCAATATTAAATATCTACCTGACAGTTTGAGAATTTAGAAGAGTAGATCTTTAGCATCTAACAAACTAAGACCAAGTGGTCACGAATCAATCCGTGTCAGCCCCATTTTTCGTAATTAAATCAAATTTCAGAACAAGGTACGATGAGTCTGTGCATTACCCATTCGTCGAGAACAAAAGACTCTTGTGAGATGGGTCATGCAAGAGAAACAAAACTGTTCAAGAGCCTCCAGTAGTCGCTTAAGAAGGATGTCTTTGACTAGGATTATAAGTGTACAAGATTTATCAATCATCAGTAAAGTTTTCAAAATTATATCAATTGAAATATATATTATTTTCTTTTCTTATTATTCTATTCTTATAAAAGGAGCACCTTTATTGATGATACAGAACCACCAATATTATTTTCTACAAGGTCTGTTTTGAGAATGGTCCAAAAGCCAAAAGGGCTTTTTCTTCTTTAAAAATAGAAGGAAAGAAACTAGCATATGCAAGAAATTATACCCCAAAATCAAAAAAGAAGTTTGAACGGTCCACCATAAATAGCTCCAGAGCACTTCTTCTAAGGAGGTATCTGTAAAGGAACTAACACTTGTAAACCACAAATAGCATGTATATTTTTTTTAAGAATTTGTACATGGCATATGAGCAATAACTTTGCACAGCAAAAAATAATAATGATGCAAAAAACGTAATGTAATCAAACAAAAGGGGGAGATCGTGCTTCAAGAGAGACAGGTATTCAATTCTTTCAATTCTTTCAAAACTATAGTACATAATTTTATGAATGAAACTAAAACAGCTCATAGATAAATATCAACGACATCCATGGCTCAAGCACATCCAACATATAGCAAAGGGGCGGCAGTAAACCGTCCACTCTCAAGATTCATACTAATCAATCCATCACTATGTCCAGCCCTTCGCTGGGTATACTCACTCTTACATGTTCAAAATGATAACAGAATGGAATGGATTGGATAGCAATACAATCAACAAAATGAGCTTACCTCCGGCTATATATTTGATGAAGAGATGACATTAACCAGCTACGATCCTTGTCTTGGTTCCCTGCCTTAAAACTGGAAAGCAAACCATCTGTTGTGGCACTGGTCTCATTGTTATAGTTATCAACTATAAAATTTATCCTCCTACTGGTTACCTATAACAAGAGCATAGTGTTTTGTATGAGTGAAACTATCATATCTAAGACAAGAAAACCGTTGAAACAATTGGGCTTGGGAAGGGAACGTGATACAGAGAGAATAGAGTAAACAGAATATGAAATCAAATGTATATGGTGTATTATAATGCACTATAAAACAGTAAAACTGTGGAAAAATAATCGTTTCAAGGGTTGGATTGGGATCCCTTGTTATAAGAAATTGGATTCTGATATCCATGATTATTTCTTTCCTTATATCCTGGTTTATAGTTCTGACTTCTGAGTAACTTATGTTTTTGTAATCAATGTTTGTGTTTTCCTTGAATCGAGCCTCATTGACCATTTGTGAGTGATTCATGGATTTATTTTCTGGTTAACAAAAAAAAGCAGCGAAACTATTTTCAAACCTCTGTTTCCATTAAACCAGCCAGTAGTTCAATTTATATTAAAATAAAACTGTAGAAATATATTTTATATTTCCTTGTATTTTATGAGAATTACATATACTATATTTATAGAATACATAAGGCAGGAATTGGAAGAAAAATCTGACCTAAGAATCAGGGGAATTAATTTCCCATGAATGCTACCAGGAAGTAATAGCTAGTTAATTACATTAATCCTAATCTTTAATGAGCTGTTCAAACATAATCATTTGATTCTGTTATGATTATTCCACACTCCCCCTCAATCTGGGTGGTAGATGTCTATCATACCCAGATTGGATCTGATATTCTCGTATATGTTCCTTGGAAGGGCTTTTGTTAGAATGTCTGCAATTTGTTGGCATGATGGAATATGATTAACACTTATAATTTCATGATCAATTTTCTCTTTGATGAAGTGTTGGTCTATCTCCACATGCTTTGTTCTATCATGTTGTACCGGGTTCTTCGCAATACTAATAGCAACCTTGTTATCACATAATATCTTCATGGGGTGATTGGTAGGAATTTTGATCTCATCTAGCATTCGCTTAAGCCAAATTCCTTCACAAATGCCTTGTGACATAGCTCTGAATTCTGCTTCTGCGCTACTCCTAGCCACAACAGATTGTTTCTTGCTTCTCCAAGTTACCATATTACCCCATACAAATGTGCAGTAACCTGTAGTCGATTTCCTATCAGATAAACATCCTGCCCAATCAGAATCGGTGTAGACTTCAATACCTCTGTTTGAGTTCTTTTGAAAATAAAGTCTTCGGCCTGGAGTACCTTTCAGGTACTGGAGAATTTTGTTCACAATTCTCATGTCAGTTTCAGTTGGATTTGACATATAACGACTAGCCATGCTTACAGCAAAACCAATGTCTGGTCTGGTATGAGTTAGATAGATTAGTTTTCCGACTAGACTTTGATATCTATCTTTATTAGCTGGTACATTCTCATCTTCTCTCCTCTTTACTTGTTCTATGGGAGTATTGGCAGCTTTGCATACTTGTTTCTTAAAGTAAATCCAGAGTGTACTTCCTTTGAGAAACTGAAATCCCATTCTTTGTTCGTGCAATTTCCATCCCTAGAAAATACTTGAGTTGTCCTAAGTCTTTGACTTCAAATTCTTTTGCTAGAAGTTTCTTTAACTGGTTGACTTGTTCATCATCATCTCCTGTAATTACGATATCATTAACATAGACAATAAACAAAGTTATCTTCCCATCCAAAGAGTGTTTGACAAACATAGTATGGTCTGTTTGACATTGAACAAAACCATCTTGCTTGACAACTTTTGTTAGTCTACCAAACCATGCCCTTGGTGATTGTTTGAGACCATAGAGATTTTCGAAGTCGACACACCATGTTGGAGGTTCCAGGTGTTTCAAGTCCCGGAGGAATTTGCATATATACCTCTTCTTCTAATTCTCCATTTAGAAATGCATTCTTTATATCTAGTTGGTGTAGGGGTCAATCTAGATTTGCTGTCAGAGATAGTAGAACTCTGACAGAATTGAGCTTCGCAACAGGGGCGAAAGTCTCCTCATAATCCACCCCATATGATTGTGTGAACCCCTTAGCAATCAACCGGGCTTTGTACCTATTTAAACTCCCATCAGCATTGTGCTTAATTGAAAATATCCACTTGCATCCGTTTTCTTCCCTTCTGGTGTAGCAGTGATCTCCTATGTGTCATTTCTTACAAGTGCTTGAACTTCTTCTGTTACCGTTGTTGTCCATTCAGGTTTCTGCAATGCTTCTTGAATATTATTTGGAATTTCGATGTTGTCAACAGCTTCAACAAAGGACCTGTAACTTTGTGATAGTTTTCCATAGGAAATATACTTTTCAAAAGGGTGTTTCGTGCAAGTTCTAACCCCTTTTCTCATAGCAATAGGAATATCAATATCTGTTGTATCAACATGTTCAGAGTTAGAAAAAATATTATTTGTGGGAACTTCATTTTCTAGAGTCTGGTTTGACTCATGGCTTTGCATTGGAGCTATGCTTGACTCTACCTCCTTCCTCCTCCTTTTATAACAAAAACCCTTCCAATTACCTATTTTTGGATCACAATCCTGTTGAGATGTGGACGAGATTATAATTGGTCTTGTTTCCGTCACAGCTTCTGTTGTCCTTTCACTCGGCTGAATGTTAGAGGTTTGGTCTGGTAATTTTCCAGCTGGTTTAGGCATAGGTTCGGCTAGTTCAAGAGGCAAAAGTTGGTATTCTGAATTTTCGATATGATATATGTATGATTGCTCCCCCTGAATACCAATTTTGGTGTAATAGGGTTGATTTTCAAAGAAGGTTACATCCATAGTGCGGTAAAAAAATTTGGTATGGGGAAAGTAACACCTATATCCCTTTTGGTGAGGAGAGTAACCAAGAAAAATGCATTTGATGGATTTTGGGTCTAATTTGCTTCGGTGAGGGTTGAGGTTATGGACAAAAGTTGAGCATCCAAATATTTTTAATGGAATAGAGGAAAAGATTTTGCTGGTTGGAAGTAGGTTTTGAATTGTGGAGAGTGGGGTCTTAAAGTTAAGGATACGGGAGGGCGTTCGATTTATAAGGTGAGTTGTTGAAAGGACAGCTTCTCCCCAAAAGTGTTGTGGGACATTTGTGGCTAACATGATTGATCTATCACTTCCAAAATGTGTTTGTTCTTCCTTTCTGCTACTCTATTTTGTTGGGGAGTGTCCACACACGAGCTTTGGTGAACAATTCCAACCTTTTGAAGATAGGAATTTAGAGTAAGGTTGTAATACTCACGATCATTGTCAGTTCTAAGTATTTGAATATTGCTTTGGAATTGTGTTTGTATCATCTTATGATAAATTTCAAATATTCTCCCTACTTCTGATACCCAGGTGACACGTGTGTGATCATCAATAAAGGTGACAAACCATCTCGAGCCTGTAATATTGTGGACTCGTGATGGTCCCCATACATCACTATGAAGTAATGAAAAAGGTTTGGAGGGTTTATAGGATTGGGGTGAGTAATGGTTTCAGGTATATTTAGACAATTAGCGAATTTCACACTGAAAATGTTCCTTGTTTTTATTGAATAAAGAGGGAAACATTTATTCCAAGTATATGAAGTTTGGGTGGCCTAATCTATAATGCCACATCATTACAGGATTATTATCACTTGAAATTGCAGCTGCAACATGATAATTATTCTTGAGTTTTTCTACATGATAATTATTCTTGAGTTTTTCTTCTACTTGAAGGAGGTAGAGTCCACCACACTCTTCAGCATTGCCAATCGTCTTCCCCGACTCCAAAGTCTCAAATTCACACAAGTTAGGAAAGAACTTAGTAACACATTTCAAATCTCTTGTAATCTTGCTAATAGACAGCGACTTACAATCCAGTTTAGGCACATACAAAACTGAGTCAAGTGTAATATTTGGTGAAATGACAATTGATCATTTATCCATGACCTTAGAATGTGTACCATCAACTATTCGAACATTATAGTTATATGGACATGGAGAATAACTATTAAACAAAGTAAAATCTCCAGTCATGTGATCTGAAGCCCCTGAGTCAATAATCCATGATTTTGTTTTTTCCTTACTAGTGTTTAGAGCATGTAAGTAATTACCTCTTTGAGCCACTACGGCAGTACCACCTTTTTCTGCAGTTAACATGGTTTGCTGAAAGAGTTTTTGAAGAGCCTCCATTTGTTCTTTGCTAAAAAGAGATGAGTTAGAGTATACCTCAGCTTCTTGATTGTTAAATGTTGTGTTACCTCTGCCCTCCTTGCCTTTGAACAATTTGGTCTCTGAAAGTTTTCCATGTATGATCCAACATGTTTTCTTTGTGTGGTCTGGTCTCTTGCATTGATCACACCAGGGTCGGGTTTTCTTTTGTGGTGGCCGAGGTTGATTCCCTCTTGCTGCCATTGCAGAGCTCTCGCTGTACGGATCTGAGTTGGGTGTTCTCGACATGATTTTCCTCCTGCTTTCTTCCCTTCTCACTTCTGAAAAGGCTTCTCGAATTTTGAGAAGTGGTTTGATTCCAAGGATCCTTCCACGAACTTCATCTAGGTCCTTGTTTAGCCCCAATAGGAATTTGTAAATCCTATCTTTTTCCACCAGTTCCTTGTACTTCTTTTGATCTTCTGTACAACACCATGTAACCTCTTCATATATGTCGAGTTGCTGTCAGTGTTTGTTAAGTATATTAAAATACTCAGTAACAGAAGATTCTCCCTGTCGAATGTCATGAAGAATGTTTTTAATGTCAAATACGACAGATGTATTGTCAACATTTGAGTATGTTTCCTTCACTGCATCACATATCTCTTTTGCAGTGTCATAGAACATGAAATTTTCACCAATTTCATTTGTCATGGTATTGAGCAGCCATGACATTACTTGGTTGTTCTCAAGTTTCCATTTCTGAAAGTTTTTGTCTCCTTTTTCGGGACATTTAGAACCTCCTGTGTAGTCTTCCCTTCCTTTTCCTTCGAGAAAATCTTGACTGACCTTACCCATTGGATATAGTTTTGGCCATTTAATGGCCTGTGATGAGGTGAGTGAGCCCTTCGTGTGAACTGGTCGAAAATGATCCAGTCTCCACTTTGAGCGATTCATCAAATTTGAGATCCTCCATAGTTTGGCGGCGCTAGGTTAGAGATGGTTCAGATCGTGCTCTGATACCATGTAGAAATATATTTTATATTTCCTTGTATTTGATGAGAATTACATATACTGTATTTATAGAATACATAAGGCAGGATTTGGAAGAAAAATCTGACCTAAGAATCAGGGGAATTAATTTCCCATGAATGCTAGCTAATTCTAATTACAGAAAGGACCAGGAAATAATAGCTAGTTAATTACATTAATCCTAATCTTTAATGAGCTGTACAAATAGAATCATTTGATTCTGTTATGATTATTCCACAAAAACCCTTAATCCAAATTAAACAAGAGAAAAATTAACTTCCAGAAGATAAGATCAATTCAATAAAAATTCTAGACATTCTCAAAAATATATTATTGCTAAATAGCATAAACCGTCCTCATGGGGTGTGCATCATTCTCTGCCTCAAAGGTAGTTTTTAGATATCCTAACTATTAGAATATATATGCAGTACACCTTTCCCATAATAGAAACATTAAGTGGAAAATTCCTCATGCTTTAGAAATTTTTTGTATGTCAATGCATCCACATCAGTAGGTCACATAATCACATTTTCTCAAATGGGTATGAAATGCAAAAGATATATGCCAATACAGTACACACAATCCACAATTCACATAAGCAGTATCATCATGATAGTTTCAGAATCAATGGAGGCATTCACATTCATAACTCGATACAACTTAATCAAAATTATAATCATTTCTAAGTTCGGCCCATAAAACTTACTTGGAAGATTCCCCGAATGACTTTAAGTGGTCGGACCATAGAAGTTGGTAGCTCGAGAACAATTCTTTCATCAAGTTCGCTAGGAACATACCCAGGTGCAATGGCTGAAGAACTCTGATCGTCTTCATCAGTTGCAAGTTGAGAACCACTGGATTCCAAAGATGCCCGGACAGATTGCTCTGCTGATTCAGAAAGTCTGAGCTGATTGTCTCCTTTATTTTGAATATCATCGGCCCTAGCAACCAAATTCTCAGCATCCACCTGTTCTTCATCTTCATTGACTGCTTCCAATGAGATTGCTTCGGCAGACAAAACTGGAGTGCCCTGGTCATTTTTCTCTCCCGAGTATTCCTCATAATCAGCCGCAGAACCTAAATGATCAGATCCTCGGTAATTTCTCCTCAAACATCTTCTCATCCTGGAAGAACTTTCCATTAAATCTAGTTTCCAAAAAACCTACAAAATAAAAAATAATAATAAGCATGATAAAGTGAACTCAAGTACTTCGTCACATGATTAAATTTTAGCAGGAGTAATAGCTGGTCAGATAAATATCCTCCAATTACAGGCAAAAAAAAGTGAAAACAAAAACAAAAGAAAAACATGGCATCAGATTAATTGAACAGTCGAAAAATTCAGCAAAACCAAAAGTCCCATACAAATGCTAGCCATACAATACAAAAAGCAGTTTTTTCTATCTCAACTCTCTGGTTTATTCCTAGAATAAACATGAAACAACAGCAAGCAACTAAAGGCACATTTCCTTGAAGACACATTCTAGTTATAAGAATTTGAGATTTGTAATGTGAATATCATAACATACACGAGGCGGGCTGTATAAATTATCTGCAAACGGCCCAAAAAGACTTCTCATCTCTATTAATTGGTGAATAAGTTTATGCCATGCATGGACTCCAGTCCTGATTCGATGTCGAGTAACTATATCCACATAAGCGCGCCTGTCAACCTGGCAAACATGTAATATTTAACAAGCAGCTTCTCAACAAATCTGCATGTCATAGAAAAAATTAGCAAACAAACCTCAGACCGTTGCATATTTCTTGCTAGTGCAAAACTGGCTACAAGAACAGCAATATATTTGTATGAAAAAGCATTAAAATCTTTCCCATACACCGACTTTGTATCAACTGGCTGCAAACATTCCATCCAGGCAACTCCCATTGCTTCAGAAATATTCCACCTCTTGACCCGCTCCATGTCACTAGCACTCCTTCGTTTTGCAGATGTAGCCATTGCAACAGCACTAAGACCTCTTCCAGAGCCAATTTTTGCAAATCGCTGAAGATCACGAGCAGCTGCCAAAGCAGCAGCTTTTGCAGCTGCTTTATCCTTGGGAAGAGGTGGTGTTTTGTTAGAGACCTCCAAAGGACTTTGAAAGCTTGAAAACGTCTGAAGCCTAGTCTGTTTGCGTTCAAGCAGTGAGGTGTCACGCCTAAGATGGGTAGGTGTTGCAGGAGCTTGGCTTTCGCCACCTGACGCACCAGCTGCAATCATAGCCAATGCCATTGCGGCAGGTGGAGATGCAAAAGCAGCAGCCCAGGCAGGAGATATCATTGCGAGAGCAGCCTGAAGAAAATAGCAATTATCAATTACACATCTAAAACAATACAGCAAGATCATGCCAATGAATCATGTGTGAAGCACACTCTGTGTATGTTGTATTAGAATCAGAAAGATAGAGAAGAGAGAATACTTTGGCTATAAAAACAAAGCAAAAAAAAAATATCGAAACAGGTCCAATAAGATTAATCAGCATTAAGAGCAGTCTAATTTATTTGATTTTGAGAAGTACTGATCCTCTGAAATAACCCATATTTCTTTTGGGTACTTTTTTCTCTTTTCTTAATAAACTTATGGTGGGTTAAAAGTGATAGGTAATAGCTGGGGTGCCAACTTGGGTGGAATTGCAGTCACTTTTGTGATGCCTACACATGCCATTTTGCGTTCAAACAAATATTTTCTTTGCCAATCAAATGAAAGTGTAATGGTTTGGTAATAAGAAGGTAAACAAGAAGGAAATCAATATATTGTGCCAATGTTTGTTTGTATGGGATTTTATTTTAGTGTTGGAAAGGAATATCATGCCTTTCAAGGGTGTGATTATTGCCTTTAACTTTTCTTTGGATAGAATTATACTTACGCCTTCTCTTAGGTCTTTCCACATGGATTATTTTAGGGGATCAGTACTTCCCATACGCAAAGAAATTAGACAACTCATAACGCTGATTGATCTAATTGGACCTATGATCACTTTATTAGAACCAAAAATCTGGAAGACCAAGTCAAAGGAAGTAGAAGGAAATAAAGTTAAACGAATGAGAGTAGAAAATGAGATGATTTAATAGTTTGGAAAAATAAAATGGAAGGGAAGGGGAAAATTGCAAGTGTTCCCTTTCCTTGTTCAATTTGGTAGAAAGTTGGAGGAAAGAAAAAAATGATAATTTTGAAATGACATAAATATCCATCAGTAAAAATGAGTAGTGGTAAAGAGAGTAAATTTAATATTTTTTATATACAATATTACTATAAATAATATGTAAAGAAAATTTATTATAAATTTAAAAAAACTTTGTTAACTCAACAATGTGCTAAAGTGAATGTGAAGGTATTGGCATAAAACTAAGTCAAACCCTTCTTATTACATATGTTTTAATGTGTGTATTTAGAGAAATGGACAGTGAAGTACCTCAATCGGCAGGGAATCGGCAGCTAATGCACGGTCATCAGCGACAAGTGGATTCAAACCATCAGCAGTAGCAAGCTCATGAATGTTAGCCAAAAGGGGGCGCCACCTCCTTAAGACAGCAACAAATGGTGGTAATATAGCCTCAAGGTACTGTTTGCGAAGAGGCTTTTGATCTCTGCTAACAGCATGGTAAACCTGACAGAGTTTTACTATGGTAACTACGTTGATGTATACAAAAAGAAGACATTCAGAAAGAATGAAAATGGACAAGTTGAAAACACAAACCTCGGCATATAGCACACAAGATGCAACCAAGACTCTTTGCCTCTTTGAATCAGAAATTGGCATGTTGAGAACAGGTGAGAGAACACTGTTCAAATATAAAATAAAATAAAAAATTAAACAAGACAAAGATTGACCCATCTAGAATACATCAGATAACGAAAATAAAAAGGGAAGCATCCAATTAACATTTTTCTATAATATTATGTCTTGATAATAGATTTCTCTCGGACTCCCAAGGAATCCACTGCCCAGCCCTGCCAAGAGATGATCCTAATCATCGTCCTAATTCGGGTGAGTCTTCTTCTATACCTAAGAGTATTAGAGAGTAGTGTCTATTTGCCTTGACTCAAGACTGTCAGCTTGAGAGTAACTAAAACCTGCTATAGCAGGTCATCTATTTGCCTTATACGAAGAGCAAACAGATGGATCTTCTGTAACTAACTATTCAGAAATCAAAAGTTGGTTATAACTGAAAATGGAAAGAGCACTTTCAGTTTCTATTATGGTATCAGATTGCTAGGTTCAGTTCAACCTAGGTCCAATCCATGGTCACGATTCCGCCTTTGTCGCAATCGCCACCTTCCTCCGGTCAGGTTTCCCCCTCTCCGGTACCGGTTATCTCAAATTTCGTTGATGAAGTTCATCGTCTTCATTTGTCCCTCAAGATTGCGCGGAAACTCGATGAAAAGAATTTTCACCTATGGCGTCAACAAATCGAACAGTACATCAACGCTCACAACCTCACTGATTTGTGGTATGTGCTCGTATTCCGCCTCAATACTCTTAATGGCTTCTCAGAAGGATCAGATGCTACTCTCATGGCTTCAGTCCACTCTTTCGAACGAAATTTTGTTGCGTGTGCTAGGTTGCACTCATGCGCATCAACTATGGGATCGATTATTCAACTATTTTCAGCGCCAGACTGGTGCACGAGCAAGACAACTTTGAGTTGAGCTTCGCTCTTTGACTCTCAATTCCTCTACTGCTCAGGACTTTCTCCTCAAAATTTGCACCACCGTTGATGCCCTAGCTTCGATTGGAGATTTAGCACCTGCTTCTCACCACATTGATGCCATCCTTGAAGGCCTTCCTTCTGAATTTTCTCTTGTTGTGTCTGTGATTGAGAGCAAATTTGGACTGATGGACTTGGATGAAGTTGAAACTTTCCTCTTAGCACACGAACTTCGTCTGGAAAAGTTTAAAAAGCAATCAGTTCCAGATCTAGTTCCCTCAATCTCACTCATATTGCACCTGACTCTGCTAGTTCTGAAGAAGCTAGTCCTGCTAATGTTGATTCATCACAATCTCAACCTTCTCAGACTATGAGCAAGAGGTCCATGGTTTTCGTGGTGGTAGAGGCATGCGTGGAGGACGGTCTTGCAGAGATAGAGGTGGTCGTTTCTCTAACACCACTCAGTCTCAAGTCTGCTCCAAATATGGTCATACTGCTCTAAACTGTTGGCCCAGGTTTAGTCATAGTTTCAACTGCAGCTAATGGAAACTTCTCCAATCCTCACTTATGGTCCTATCCACCTTTACTGCATATGGTACTATGCCTCCAAATGTGTGAACTCGGCCTCAAGCTGATCCAAGACAGGCTCCTCCCTTCACTAATCACCAAGTGCCTTTGTTGCCAATGCCACTCCTTCCACATCATCCTCCACCTCATGCTTTCCTGACTCTGGTGCTTCATTCCATGTGACAAATGATGCTCAAAAATCTTCAACAGATTACTCCTTTTGTGGGCCATGATCAGATCTATATAGGCGATAGACAAGGTTTGCAAATTCAGTCCACTGGTTGTAGCACTTTTGTTTCACCTATCCACTCTCACACACCACTTGTCTTACACAATATGTTACTTATTCCCTCAATCACCAAGAATCTTATTAGTGTCGGTCAATTCTCCAAAGACAATGATGTCTATTTTGTATATTCAGCTAATCAATGTCTAGTTAAATCTCAGGTGTCTAATGCCACTCTGCTTGGAGGTTTTGTTGGAAGTGATGGCTTCTATGAATTTCCCTCTTTAGCTCTCTCTACCAATGCTGCCAAGTCTCCATGTATTTCAGATTCAGTTTGTCATAATAAATCAATGTCTAGAGTTAACTCTGTATCGCTTAGCACTAGTGCTTCTAATATGTAACATCTCAGGTTAGGTCATCCCAATCCTCATGCCCTTAAACTTGTTTTAAATGCTTGTGACATTGCTTTCAATAATAAAGGTATTGATACTTTCTGTTCAGCTTGTTGTTTGGGAAAAGCACATAGATTACCTTCCCATGCATCTCAATCTACTTATTCTTCTCCCTTATAACTCATATATAGTGATATATGGCGTCCTTCCCCTAATTGTTCTACATTAGGCTTTAAGTACTACAATCTACATGTCTTTTGTAGATAGATGTCTTCTCTAAATTTACCTGGATCTATTTGCTCAAAGCCAAGTCTGAAGCTCTCGCCATATTTAAACAATTCAAAACAATGGTGGAACTTCAGCTTGGTGCTATTAAAGCACTGCAGTCTGATTGGGAAGGGGAATTCACCTCACTGACACATGCATCATTCACAGAGTTACCTGTCCCCACACTCATCACCAAAATGTTGTTGTTGAGAGAAACACAGGAGATCATCATTCCAAGAGTTATCTGTCCCCACACTCGTCACCAAAATGTTGTTGAGAGAAACACAGGAGGTTTTAACCTGCCACCCCACAAATTTAAGCTGGCATCACCCAAATTTTTTTATTCCCAATTTTCCCATGAACCAAATTTAGGGGTGGCAAGTTTGAAATTTCCGGTACCCCCACCAAACTTCCGGTATGAATTTTCGAAAAATAAAATAAAAATTTTGTACTACTAGAAATTTCGAAATTTCATGTACCATACTGGAACTTTCGAAATTTCTCGTAGTACAGAATTTTTTTTGTACTACCAGAAATTTCCTGTAGTGCAAATTTTTCCCGGAAATTTTTTCGGAATTTCCAGTAAACCGCATATTTTTTAAAAATTAGTAACTTTAGGCACATGGGAGGGTGTCAGGTATAATAAGTATGAGGTGTCAAACCTATCCCAAATTCTAAGATGGCATCATATAATTTTGTATACTTGTTATTGGACTAATAGTGTTATTATATTGTTAGGCAGTTAGTTTACATTTTCTGTTCTACTATTCTGTTAGTATATTTGCTGAGCTGTCATATTTTCTGTTAGGGCAGCTTTAGTTTGTTATGATCCAAGCCTCTCTATATAAAGAGTGTTTTCTGTATCTTCCAGAAATAACACTTATCAAACTGCTTTCTTCTTTTCTCTTCTTACCAAACTCTATCATGGTATCTAGAGCTTAAATTTTTCGATCCATGGAGTCCTTGTTTCCGTCTTCGCAAGTGAAGCTTTCTCACTTGATCTCTGTAAAGCTTGATGATAGGAACTTCAAGCAATGGAAGCAACAGATTGACGGAGTTGTACGCGGTCATCGCCTACAACGGTTTGTTAATGTTCCAGTGATTCCTCAGAGATCACCGTCCGATTCCGATACCACACCACACGGTGAGAATTCTGCGTACCTGGAGTGCGAACAACAAGACGCACTCGTCTTCACTTGGCTCCTCTCTACTGTCTCAGATTCGCTTCTCCCAAAGCTTGTAGAGTGCAGACATTCGTGGCAGGTATGGACTGAAATCCATCGTTACTTCAATACGCTTCTCACAACCAAAGCGCGCCAACTGCGACCGGAGCTTCGGCAGCTTACGAAAGGTACTCGCACGGTTACGGAACTCATCGCGCGTACACGCGAAATCAGTGACTCACTGCTTTCAATTAGGGATCCGGTTCCGTTACGTAACCTAATCGAGATCGTTCTTGATTCTTTGCCTGAAGATTACGATCCAATTGTCGCTGCTGTTAACAGCAAAGACGAATTGAGTTCCTTGGATGAGTTGGAGTCGTCGCTGTTAGCGCATGAATCGCACCTTGAGAAGCATCGTAAGGTTGTGGTTACTGAACCGGCAACGGTGAATCTGACTCAGGCGGCGTTGTCGTCCTCGCCGGTTACCTCTGATCAACCAGCGTCGACGGACACTTTCCCTCAAGGTACGAGTCACGTGACTGCCAACGCTGATAATCACACTTATGGATCTCGTGGAGGTCGTTCCGGTCGTGGTGGTGGTCGCTATGGACGCGGTGGAGGCCGTTTTGGCAAAACGCAATGTCAGATTTGTCACAAATCTGGACATGACGCATCTATCTGCTACTATCGTTACTCTAATTCCAGTGGTGCTGCATATCCACCTCCAAGAGCTCCGTATAATCCACCTCCAGCTTCAGAACCTGCATAAAACGCCTGTGGTGCAGAAGATCTAGGAGGTGCACTACCTCTGGGAACAGAATAACCAAATTGAGCTGGAAACATAGGGCGTGATTGCCTCTAATTTGTCTGACTCTGTTTCTTTGCCAGGAACTGAGCAAGTATTCATGGGAAATGGCCAAGGTTTGTCTATAAATTATGTTGGTTCCATGTCTTTTCACTTGCCACACACTACCAACCTACCTCTTACCCTTCGAAACCTGCTCCTTGTCCCTAACATAACCAAAAACTTAATGAGTGTGAGCAAATTTGCTCAAGATAATCATGTCTTTTTTGAATTTCATCCTAATTTCTGTGTTGTTAAATCTCAGGCTACTTCTGAAGTGTTACTTCGTGGGTCTGTTGGAGATGATGGACTTTACCAGTTCTCTAATCCTACCACTCAGCTATCCAAGTCTAGTTTTCCAAATTCATGTTCTGCCCAATCTCCAAACTGCAGGGCTAGCTGTAATTTGTCATTTTCATCTGTAGCACACAATAATCTTGTTTCCAATTGTTTACCAAATTGTATAAATAATTGTAATACTCTTTGTAATCCTGATCAGTTTCATATTAATACGAGCAGTTTTACTCATACTCCTTCTCTTAATTCCACTACTTACAATACTCATGTATCCTCTTCACATTCTAATAGTTCATCCTCCATAGCCACAAGTAGAAGTTTTCAAACTATGCAACTTCTCCAATTTTCCTAAACCACCTACAGAATTGTGTCAAGCTTGCTGCCTTGGCAAGTCTCACAGATTACCCTCTACCCTATCTACCACTGTTTACACTCATCCTTTTGAATTAGTTGTTTGTGATCTTTGGGGTCCTGCACCTATAAAATCTACAGGTGGTTACACATACTTCCTCACTTGTGTAAATGCTTTTTCTAGATTTGTTTGGGTCTTTCCTCTCAAACTCAAATCTGATACCTTTATCCAGTTTACTCAGTTTAAGAAAATGGTTGAACTTCAATTTAATTGTCCTATCAGATGTGTTTAGAGTGATGGTGGAGGAGAGTTTAGGCCTCTCACCAAATATCTAAATGATTTGGGTATTGTTCATAGGCTCACTTGTCCTCATACTCATCATCAAAATGGCCTTGTTGAACGTAAGCATAGGCACATAGTTGAAACAGGGCTCACACTTCTAGCTCAATCCACTCTTCCTTTAAAATTTTGGGACCATGCCTTTGTCACAGCTGCCTATCTTATTAACAGAATACCTAGTCCCACAATTGACAATTTCTCTCCTTATTTCAAACTTCTTAATAAGCCCCCAGATTATTCAAACCTTAAAGTCTTTGGTTGTTCTTGCTATCCCTTCCTTCGTCCCTATAATGTTCATAAGTTAGCCTATAGGTCCCAAGAGTGCTTATTTCTTGGTTATTCTACAGCTCACAAAGGTTACAAGTGCCTAGCTTCTGATGGCCACATCTATATCTCCAAAGATGTGGTGTTTCACGAGTCTAAATTCCCATACCAATCCTTGTTTCCCACTGCATCTCAATCTTCCATTTCCAACACAAATCTCAATTCTATTAATGCCTTCTCCTGGTCATTCCCTTCTATAATTCCATCCCCTGAATCCAGGCAACCTACATCCTCTCCTTCCCTTAATCCTCCTTCTCTTACTCAGGCTGAACATCATCATTTTGTCTCTCCTTCAGTCTCTCAGTCTGAGTCTGTCTCAGCTTCTCATTCCAGTTCTATTGCATCCCATGTTTCTTCATGTTCAGCTTCAGCTTCTCATACTCATAACCAACCAGTCCTAGCAAATGCTAACCACACCCCTCCCTGCTCTCCTGCCCTCATTTAAACTGGTTCCTCTTACCCTTCTCACTTTAACCAACCTTTTGTCAATCCTCTCAATGTGCATCCTATGCAAACCAGAGCCAAAAGTGGCATTACCTTACCTAGACTTAATCCCACACTGCTTTTAACCCACATGGAACCAACATCAATTGATCAAGCCTTGGCTACTCCTCATTGGTTTCAAGCAATGAAAGAAGAATTTCAGGCATTGATGAGAAATCAGACCTGGACTTTGGTGAAAGCACCTGATTCTAGGAAGCCAATTGGCTGCAGGTGGGTCTTCAGGACCAAAGAAAACCCTGATGGATCTGTCAACAGATACAAGGCCAGATTAGTTGCAAAAGTGTTTCATCAAAGGGCTGGCAGTGATTTTCAAGAGACTTTTTCACCAGTCATCAAGCCTGTCACAGTCAGAACAGTCCTTACTATTACTGTCACAAACAAATGGATCATCCAGCAGATTGATGTCAATAATGCCTTTCTAAATGGCACTCTTGAGGAGGAAGTTTTCATGCAACAACCCCTGGGTTTGCAGCCTCTGACAAGTCCCTAGTGTGCAGGTTGAACAAAGTTATCTATGGGTTAAAACAGGCCCCTGGGACCTGGTTTGACAAACTCAAGAGTGCCCTGCTTCAGCATGGTTTTCAAGCTAGTAGGTGTGATCCCAGCCTGTTTCTGCTTCATCAAGGCAAACTTCAGATCATGGTTCTTGTATATGTTGATGATATCATCATTACAGGAAATTCAGCTTCCTTTATTACATCCTTGATCAAGCTTCTTAATGATAAATTCTCATTGAAACAGTTGGGACAGCTTGACTACTTCCTAGGCATTCAGGTTTCTCACCTACCTAATGGTTCCATTCTTCTCTCTCAAACAAAGTATCTTACTGATTTACTATTAAAAGTAAATATGCTCAATGCAAATGCCATGCCCACTCCCATGGCTTCTACCAGCAAATTGTCAAAGGTGGGTTCTGTTCCTGTTGAGGATCCTACTCAGTTCAGATCTATTGTGGGTGCCTTGCAGTATGCCACATTAACTAGGCCTGAAATTTCTTATTTTGTCAACAAAGTCTGTCAGTTCCTATCCAATCCCCTGGAGGAACATTGGAAGGCAGTCAAAAGGATCCTAAGGTATTTGAGTGGCACCATACAGAATGGGTTACTCTTGCAACCTGCCCCCGTTCATCAACCTATGCAGTTAATAGGGTTTTGTGATGCTGATTGGGCATCTGACCCTGATGACAGAAGATCCACTTCAGACGCCTATGTTTTTCTTGGCCCAAATGTCATCTCCTGGTGGTCCAAGAAACAGCAGCTGGTGGCCAAGTCCAGTGCTGAGGCTGAGTATCGTAGTATGGCTATGTTGGCTGCCGAGTTATTATGGGTTCAGTCTCTGCTCAAAGAAATTAATTGTCCCTTTCAAGTGCCAAAAATCTTATGTGACAACTTAAGTACAATCACACTTGCCCACAATCCTATCCTCCATAATAGGACTAAACACATGGAGCTGGACATCTTTTTGTGAGGGAAAAAGTTATGAGCAAAAGTCTCTCAGTGGCTCATGTCCCAGCTCAAGACCAGTGGGCTGACATCCTGACCAAACCTTTGTCTCCTGCCAAGTTTGTATCTCTGCGTGGAAAGTTGAAGATGTTTAACAAGAATGACTTGTCCAGACCACCCTCAACTTCTAAAGGGGACTAATAGTGTTATTATATTGTTAGGCAGTTAGTTTACATTTTCTGTTCTACTATTCTGTTAGTGTATTTGCTGAGCTGTCATATTTTCTGTTAGGGCAGCTTTAGTTTGTTATGATCCAAGCCTCTCTATATAAAGAGTGCTTTCTGTATCTTCCAGAAATAACAGAATAACACTTATCAAACTGCTTTCTTCTTTTCTCTTCTTACCAAACTCTATCATGGACCACACATTTTCTGACATTCTAGATATCCACTCCTAGGGGCAAGGTGTGTTGAGATCTCATTTCAGTCACTGTGCAACCTGCAACTGTCCACATTCCAGATATCCAATCGTAAGCAAGATGGGATGTATAAAGATTCCACACCAACTAGAGGTATGGTCAAAGTAGTCCTTATCAAGTTTTGGTAATCCTCACCCCTAGAGCAAGCTTTTAGGGATTAATTAAGTCGAGTCCAAAGTCGAGTCCAAATTCTAAGATAGTATCAAAACCTACCCTAGATTTGTTACTGACCCATACTTGTTCACGCTCCAAATGTTGACTCATGCTTGTGAATGCATGTGTTCAGATCTCATATCGGCTAGAGATGACCAAACTATTACTTATAAAGCTTGGGCAATCCCCACCCATTGACTATTGAGCTAGCTTTTGGAATTGAGTTAAACCTAATTCAAATTTTAAGACATGTTTTACCAAGAAAACGTATGTAATTATGTTGTATATAGGGTTTTTTATTACTTTTGCTACAAAAGAGAATATTAATAGTCTTTCTTCCTCAAAATTGAAAAGCCCGTTTCCTTGGAGAAGCACTATGGATTTACCTTACCAAGAGGAGCACTCTCCAATCACCTTTTCTACATCAGTAATATTAGTTTTTTTGCGGCCCTTGTTTTGGTCCTCCGAACTAAGTTGTAAGATATGTCTTACTTGAATCATGTTTCTGAATTATTTGCAGTTAAACTAGTACAAGACTACATTATAGGACAGAAACAAGCACACAATTTTAGATTGAAGGGATTGTTCTACCTCCATAAAAGTGCTCGTGGTTTTCTTCCTTCAGGAGCTGCATCCTCAATACTTGTATTTCTCATCAGCATATAATCTTCACCATCATCATCTTCCCTCATCGATAGAAGAACCATTCTAAGCATGCATAAGAACGGTTGGTCACTGTCTAATAGCTGGTACAGTGCAGCCATCGCTCCCATTCCGGTACCTGATCCTCCCCCTATACCAAGACCACCACCGAGTCCAGACTCATCTAGCAATAATGCTTGGAGCATTGCCACAGACTTCCTCACTAAAGGAAGTTCAATCCAGTTTCCATTGGCATCTTTCTCCAAAGCTGACTTCCAAAAATCCCATCCACTGCCTCCACCACCAAATGCAGCTGGATTCTGTGGAAGGCCAACACCATACCATAAACGGCTCCGATATTTCCAGCCATCAGCTAAATCCTTTGCACAGGACCCGTGTGACACAAAAGCACAAGATACAGATTCATAAGGCTCAGCTGCTGCGGCAGCCGTAATCTTTTCCATCAATGATGTAGGGATCTGACCGCTTCCATCAGCCATTGAAGAAAGGGCCTTCAAAAATCATGAAAGTATGAGTTTCACCAATATAGAAATATTAGAACAAAAATGATATGATGATTAATAGACAAATCAAATCGATGAGAATGCAAATGCAATGGCAATAAGAAAAAAAAAGTTGGCACATATTTTCTTAAATCTGAAAGAAAAACACAAAAGTTGGAGATAAGAAGTATAATGCGGGAAGAGTTAAAAAAAGATATTTCGAGAATAGAACAGTATGTTAAGCATTATTTTAAAAACGGATGCGACACTGGAGATGCCCAGATATCAAAACAAAATACTTCTCTATTTATGACATGTAGCATGCATGTGTAGTTTTAGGTTACTATAAGCATACATCTAGAGGGATTGCCCCTGATCCACTGGATAATGATCTTTGGTTGTCTGTGACTTCAGTTGACTCGTCTATTGTTGACAATGAACTTCTGTGATCACTTATTGGATACAAATTAGAAAGGGGAGATGGAGATATATCTGCATTACGTGAAGAAGATTGTTTGCTCTGCAACCGCAAATGGTCTTCAACAAGCATAAGTATCACAATGGCATTCTCTACTAAGGCCACTGACAACTGGGCAGCATTATCAGCTTCGGCCTTAGCATCTGTTGGGGACAAGCCCTCAGCTGCAACACCAGCCGCAGCTGCAGCAATAATTTGAGTCTGCAGCAAGGGAAAGCTGTATGTGAACGTCATTACTGTTTTTTCTTCCACTAATAACAAAAATGAGAAACATAGATAATTGCACTTATTTATAGTTTTAGCATATGATTTTGATATTCGTAGCGATTTTGTTTCTGAAGTGTGATAGACATTCCAAAATAAAATTAACATGGGGGAGGGGTAAAAATAGCAGAAAGAATATCATTACCATGGCATGGCATATCATGCATAAAACTTCTTATTAGGAAAAACTGTACCAATAGAAAACAAGATTTACCTGAACCTGCAATTCTCTAGCAGCAAAGTCCAACAAGCCATCTAAGAGTCTTCTTTTAAATGTAGGCAATGATTCTTCACGTCTTTAGAGAAATTGACCCAAAATATAATGATTATATAAATAAAATGAAACCAAAATTTATAAACTGTTGCTAGAAACTTTGAATCAAGACGAAAGAGAAATATGGTAGTATAAAAGAATTTACAGAACTCTTTTTCAAAATTCTTTATAATCTGTTCAACAAACATAGACTGAGATTATTGCTCTAAATGTTATCTTTTGAGCATGTCTCAAACGTAATTGTCATATTTGAATTACCATCAACCAATGTGAAACATATACCAGCACAGCTTTTTCATATTGCCTCATCAAGTTTACACGTTTCATCAACTTTTTTATTAAATTTCAAAACTTAGCAAAAGCTGATTCAGTCAAACTCTAATGGAACATACAAATTTTCCTTTTATATTTTTCCTTGGCTTTTACTTTTATAATCTAGAATAACTTATGATGGTATGAGCAGTTCTATGTATACTTTTCCACATTACACCAGAATGGTTAATACTACTTAAACAATTTAGAGAAAAGGAGGTCACTTAAAAATTTGTGATGATGTCAAAACTATTCTGCAAAGTAATGGAGGTCAACTAAAAGCTTAACCGGTCGAGTAAAAATTGATCAATATGCCAAACAAAATCCCCCAGCCCAAGCCATTTGAACTTCAAGCATGGACAGAGGAATGGCACACCCAACCTTATGCTGAAAGTCAAGTTTTGGGAGCAGTCAGAATTATACTCCTGACCACTTGATCATAGAAGCTCTGATAGCATGTCAAGGACCGACTCTGCTAGAGACTTAAGCTGTTAGGTCAAAGCTCATGAAATTGTCTAATATCCATACTAAAAAGATAGTATGTCTAGCTCAGAAACAATGTCAAATAATATCGAAGTAAATAAAAAAGAATAGAATACTCCAAGAATAGAATACTCAAAGAGCTCATAATGGATGTATAAACCTACCTTACTCGCTGATCTCCTGTGCTAGATCCACCTACAATAGAAAGCCATTCCGCACAATGAATTGTTGCTTCGATATCCTGGAAAGAATGAGTAACACTGAGTAGCCTGAATTAGCCTGATAAAACAGAAATAATGCAAGCGGATAGATATGGATGTTGACAACTGAAGTTAAATTCCAACAGAATGATGACCAAGAAGTTAGACAATATTTCAGCAGTCAGTTGCAGTTTCACATGCAAACTCCATATTAGAGTTATATCTTAGAATATGAATAATCAGCACTATAGAATAATTAAGTCCAGCCTTAATTTAATAGAATAAGAAAAGTCTTCCTTAATTGTAGAGCTTGAATGATTCAACTCTTGAATGTTCATCTCTTCTTGTATAAATAGAGCATAATGCTCCTTTCCAATGAAGCAATAACAGAATCTGTTTCTCTCTTTTCTCTTTTAGCTTTTTCTCTCTTCTCTCTCATATCTCACTCTAATATGGTATCATAGAGCTTCGGTTCTATCCATGGCAGCGATTCCAGTAACTACAGCTCCGGCCACCCCAACATCTATGTCCTTCCAACTCAAAATCACAGAAAAACTTGATGAGAAGAATTTCCTACTTTGGCGCCAACAAGTAGATCCTTTCGTTAACGCGAACAATCTTCAAAACTACCTTTACCTTCGTGACATACCGAATCAATACCTGACTGATGAAGATCGTGCCGCTGCTCGTGAGAACCCTGCGTATCGCACCTGGATTACGCAAGATCAGTGGCTTATGACGTGGCTTCAATCCACGCTTTCACCTTCAATTCTTTCACGTGTTCTTGGATGCATTCATTCCTACGAGCTCTGGGAACGTATTCTTGCGCATTTTCAAAAGCTTACACGTGCGAAAGCAAGACAACTACGAGCGGAACTCAGATCTACAACACTTGAAGACAAATCTGTTGGTGATTATCTGGTTCGCATCAAAGCTCTTGTTGACGCGCTTGCTTCAGTAGGAGATCCAGTTCCAGATCAGCAACACATTGATGTGATTCTTGAAGGTCTTCCTCAAGACTTTGCCTCTGTTATTTCAGTTATTGAAAGCAAGTTTGATTCAGTAGAACTTGAAGAAGTTGAAGCTCTTCTTCTTGCTCATGAGATGAGATACAACAAGTATAAGAAACACTCACAAATGGAGGTGGCTGCCTCAGTGAATCTCACTCAAGCCAATTCTCAACCTGAAACTGATAACTCGAATAACAAGAACAATGAACAAGCTGTGAATTCAACCTTTAATCCAACCTATTCAAGAGGAGGCCGTGCAGCTGGCCGTGGTGGTGGACGCGGCCGTGGGAGAGGTAGGTTCAGCAACATTCAATGTCAAGTTTGCTTCAAATATGGTCATCTTGCTGCTAACTGCTATCATAGGTTCAATCAACAATTTCAACCTAACATACCTGCTGATTTTCAAACAATGAACCTACAAAATTTCTATCCGTATCAACCAATTGGTGGACCTCAGTTTGCTCAGCCCATGGTTAACACTCGGTCACGCCCAAGCTATCAACCAAGACTTGCCCCTCTCCCTGTTCCTCAGTCACATATCACTCCCAATGCTATGATTGCTAACACAACTTCAGTTCCAAGCAGTGCCTGGTTCCCAGACTCAGGAGCTTCTTATCATGTTACCAATGCCTCTCAAAACATACAGCAAACCACACCTTTTGAAGGTCCTGATCAGATCTTCATTGGTAACGGTCAAGGTTTGCACATTCACTCTTCAGGCTCTTCTTATTTTCCTTCTCATTCTAAACCTAACACTCCATTAGCTCTTCATAATTTACTGCTTGTTCCTTCTATTACAAAGAACCTGATAAGTGTCAGCAAATTCTGTCTTGATAATAGAGTTTTCTTTGAGTTTCATGCTGATATGTGCTATGTCAAATCTCAGGCTACCAATGAAATTCTGCTCCAAGGTCGTGTAGGAAGTGATGGCCTGTACCAATTTTCCCATCTTCAGCTTCTTAAGTCTCCTTCAACAAGTCAAGTCTCATGTCTCACCTTAGACTCTAATGCTCATGTTTCAAGATCTGATTCCAGCACTAGTGATAGGGTTTCAGTTTCTAATCAAAATGTATCAGCTAATAACTCATATAATTCTCAACATACTTGGCATTTACGCCTTGGTCATCCAAATTCTAATACTATGAGACTTGTTTTAGCTCAATGTAATATTCCTTATTCTAATAAAGCTGAATCTATCTTTTGTTCTGCCTGCTGTATGGGAAAGGCACATAGGCTGCACTCCCCTCAGTCACAAACTCAATATCACTCTCCTCTTGAATTAATTTTCAGTGACCTATGGGGTCCTGCCCCAGTCAAATCCTCCCAAAACTTTACCTACTACATCACCTTTGTTGATGCATACACCAGATTTACTTGGATCTATTTGCTCAAAAATAAATCTGAAGCCTTAACTATCTTTAAACAATTCAAAGTCATGGCTGAATTACAATTTGGATTTCCTATTAAATCTGTCCAAACTGATTGGGGTGGTGAATTTCGCCCATTTACAACGTTTCTTTCTGATCTTGGCATTATTCATCGCCTAGTTTGTCCTCACACTCATCACCAAAATGGTGTAGTGGAGAGGAAGCATAGACACGTTGTTGATCTTGGTTTAACCCTCTTGAGTCATGCCTCTTTACCTCTCAAATTTTGGGACCATGCCTTTTTAACCGCTGTCTACCTAATAAATAGGTTACCAACCATGTCTCTCAATCAACATATACCATATGCTGTCCTTTTCAATCAAAATCCTGACTATAAATTCCTTAAAGTCTTTGGGTGTGCTTGTTTTCCTCTCCTTCGCCCATACAACTCTCAAAAATTTGACTTTAGATCCCACGAGTGCCTTTTTCTAGGGTACTCTACAGCTCACAAAGGTTACAAATGTCTCTCTCCAAGTGGTAGAATATTCATCTCTAAAGATGTTCTTTTCAACGAGTCCAAATTTCCTTACAATGATCTTTTTTCCTCTAATGTTTCTCTCCCCTCATCAACCATTCCATCCTCCTCCTCATCTAAAGTAACCCTTAACACACAAGCTCTCCCTCATGTTTTTCCCGTTCCTACTGCTTCCACTACCTCACACTCCTCTTCTTCTTCTCAATCCAATTCCAGCCCCACACCTATTGTCTCACACTCCTCTTCTTCTTCTCACTCCAATTCCAGCCCCACACCTATTGTCTCACACTCCTCTTCTTCTTCCTAATCCAATTCCAGCCCCACACCTACTGCCTCTGGGTCAGCAACCCCTATAACACAAACAGCCAGCACTAATCCTACTCCTTCACCCTCTTCAAATGCCAACAATCAGCCTACTACTACCACTTCACTATCCTCCTCCTCTATTTATGCTCCTAGGGATCCTAACCTTCAGCCTCTCCCCACCAATACTCATCCTATGACTACTAGAACTAAATCTGGTGTACCCTTACCTCGTCTAAATCCTTCCATTTTTCTTGTCAATTCTGAGCCTAAGAGTGTTAAAACTGCTCTCCAAGATCCTAAGTGGTTTGCTGCTATGCAAGAGGAGTATGGTGCCTTGATAAGGAACAACACTTGGTCTTTGGTACCACTGCCTGCTAACAGGAAAGCAATAGGCTGCAAGTGGGTTTTTCGTGTAAAGGAAAATGCTGATGGGACAGTAAATAAGTACAAAGCTAGGCTTGTTGCTAAGGGGTTCCATCAAGTCCATGGATTTGACTTTAATGAAACTTTCTCCCCTGTTATTAAACCGGTCACAATTAGAATTATTTTGACTCTTGCTCTAACTTACAATTGGCCTTTGCAGCAGTTGGACATAAACAATGCCTTTTTGAATGGCATTCTTGAAGAGGAGGTCTATATGATGCAACCCCCTGGATTTACTGCCCCTAATTCATCTCTGGTTTGTCACTTGCACAAGGCCTTGTATGGCCTAAAACAAGCCCCGAGGCAATAATGGTTTGAAAGACTCAAAACCACTCTTTTATCCTTTGGCTTTCTAAACAGCAAGTGTGATACTTCACTTTTCATCTACAAGCATCACAATGCTGTCATTTATATGCTGGTTTATGTTGATGATATAATCATCACAGGAAACTCCCCTCCTCTCATCAAGCAAGTTACTCACCAATTAAATCATGTGTTTGCTCTCAAACAACTTGGTGACTTGGATTATTTTCTGGGCCTTGAGGTGAAGAAATTGTCCAATGGAAATCTCCTTCTCACTCAATCTAAGTACCTAAGGGACTTGCTAATCAAAACTGATATGGAGAATTCCAATCCAGTTGCTACTCCTATGGCTTCCTCCACCAAACTCATCAAAACAGGGTCTGCTGCCTTGTCTGATGCCTCCCACTACCGGTCCATTGTAGGGGCCCTGCAGTATGCAACAATTACACGGCCAGAAATCTGCTATGCTGTTAACAAAGTATGTCAATTCATGGCACACCCCTTGGAGTCCCATTGGCTAGCTGTCAAGCGTATTCTGCGCTACCTAAAAGGAACTATCACCTCTGGTTTATTGTTCACTCCAGCCTCCACTGTTCCGTTCTCTCTGCAAGCCTATTGTGATGCTGACTGGGCTGCTGACCCAGATGATAGAAGATCCACCTCTGGGTCAGCTGTGTACTTAGGCCCTAATTTGATCTCTTGGTGGTCCAAAAAGCAAACTGTTGTTGCTCGTTCTAGTGCTGAGGCAGAGTATCGCAGCTTGGCTCACACCACAGCTGAAGTTTTATGGGTTCAAACTTTGCTAGCTGAACTAAAAATTCCCTTGACAACTCCAACCATCTATTGTGACAACCAGAGCACAGTTGCTATGGCTCATAACCCTGTTCTTCATGCAAGAACAAAGCATATGGAAATTGACCTCTTTTTTGTAAGAGAAAAGGTGATTAATAAGTCTCTCACTGTCTGCCACATTCCTGGTGTTGACCAGAAGGCTGACATCCTCACCAAGCCTCTCTCATGTTCCAGATTTATGGAGCTCAGCAGCAAGCTCAACCTGTTTGCCTCAAGTCAGCCTTTGCAGCCACCTTGAGCTTGTGGGGGAGTATTAGAGTTATATCTTAGAATATGAATAATCAGCACTATAGAATAATTAAGTCCAGCCTTAATTTAATAGAATAAGAAAAGTCTTCCTTAATTGTAGAGCTTGAATGATTCAACTCTTGAATGTTCATCTCTTCTTGTATAAATAGAGCATAATGCTCCTTTCCAATGAAGCAATAACAGAATCTGTTTCTCTCTTTTCTCTTTTAGCTTTTTCTCTCTTCTCTCTCATATCTCACTCTAATACTCCATGAACATTTACTTTCTCTTGATGACCACAATTATGTGATTAGAAAATAGAATGTTACAAAATGTCTTAAAACTCAATGTTAATAATACTGTGTACACAAATCATTGCTCAAAACCAACAAGTATGGTAAACATCTAAAAGATTCTCATTTAATCTCACCCGTCAATATGTCAACTCAGCTACTATTTTAAGCCTCACTGATTCCAGAATTCATTTGATTTCTTTGTTTGAAATATCTTACGAAATCAAACCCCATTAACCCCAAAAGTTGTACTTTTTTCTTTTGGAATAAAATTATTTCTATACAGAGAAAGAACAAGGAGGGGGTGGGGAACAAACAGTCTTTTTCATATCTGCAAGTCTAAAACCTTATTTACAAATTCGTTGAAAGTTCAAGCCCAGTTTACTGTTTGACGTTCAACTCTTGACAAAAAAAAAAACAAAGATTTAATAGAGAGAACACAAAATGGGCAAACAAACTATTGCATGTGCCAGCTATCATCAGCAACATCGTGAATCACGAAAGAGCAAAATGGACAAGATTTGGAAGTAGCGTGAACTATTTCCATATGAAAGAAGTACAAAATCCAAACAAAAACCAACCTTCCATCCATCCTTTTGGCGCATTGAGTGCTCTAGCATGATAATTAGGAAGTTATGAATCAAGTCTTCTACATCTCCAGCACTTGTTGAATCAGACAATTTGCTTGGACCCAGCTGTTAAAAAAGAGTATGCAATTAACAGTCAAGGAATTCTCCCAAAAATCACACCCAAAACAAGTGTTATAAAAGAAATTGGCATTAATTTAATAGAAGATCAGGATTTCCTCAGAGTCTGAGATCAGGATTTCCAAGATCATAGCTTGGACCCACCTGTTAAAAGAATTTGTTACTCATACATACTGTTATTACCTCATAGTTTGAGATCAGGATTTCCAAAATCCATTCAGGCCATTCCTCCATATTTATCATACTGTTCCTATTTTCAGGATGACTGCAAGCCAAAAATAGAAGATCCTGAAAATATACAAAACCAAGCAGCTTAAAGCTAGGTAGTATAAAAAAATCCTTAGTAGGAACTGTGCGTCGTTGGAGGTCTTACTTCCAAAGACAAACTTTTATATTGTTGTGTTATATATACATGGACATTTGATGACTTAACGATGACATAAAAAGGTACCCAAAAAGAAACCTAAGAGAGGTTTGTTGAACTTAAAGACACAATAACCCCTTATTGTAATTGTTCTATTTGAAAAGACGAGAAAAAAATCTGGGAAAGAAAAGAAGACATGTGTGAAGACAGATATAAAGGTTGAATAAGACAGTCTCCTTTTTAGCCTGGACCCTCGGGCTTTATTTGACAGTTTGGATTGTGGGGGGGGGGGGGGGGGGGGGGGGGGGGGGGGTTTGGGGGAGGGGATTTGTAACATTTTTTAAAATTGAGCTTTTGTATAGAATGGTAAATGAATGTTTATCATTACTATATTTTTTAATTTTCAAAATATTATAACATAAAATATATTTGAAGAATTTATGTAAGTCTTCCAAAATCCTTTAATTTTTTCTACTCTATCCTTCCCTTTTTTCAAAGTCCTCCCCTCCCTTCCCCTCCAAACTCCCAAAACAAAGCCCTCAATGTATCTGCCACTGAGAAAATGAAAGAACCCACATTGTTGAACATCATCAAGAAGCAACAATAAACTTCGGGTAAAGAAATTCTTTCAATTACGGATTATACAAGACTTTTATAGTTTCCTTTTCAATAGAAAATAACATGTCAATGGTTCCAAATAGGCGAGAAAGGGAAAGGAAAAAAACACAGAAATCAATTATGAGTTAAAATAACTGTAGAAGTGGTCAATGTAACAACATATCCTAATTATGAATTAAAATAACTGTAAAATGAAATATATAAATCCTTATATTATGCATATTGTAAAAAAACAGAAGTAATGAGCAAACACCTGCAATGCCCTGCTCTGCAGTGACCTGGGTGCAAATGGTAGGGAACGCAACAGCACCAATAAAAGTTCTGAATGCTCAAAGCGATGACCAGAATCATAGAAATTTAGTCCATCCTCTGAAGAAGAAGCATTGATCTGAAATGGAAAGCCAAGAAAATGAAAATGGAAAAGTTAGCTAACGAGGATAGAATAGCCATTTTGGCAATTTAGTTACCAGATTTTTCAAGGAATTCCTCAATAGACATTCAAAGAGGCTTGAAGGCTTTCATGTTTTTCAGTTTTTTACGCAGTCTGTCGTGGTTAAAATGGGGGATTTTTATCATTTATATTAGCAAGTTTCTTTCTCTGTTTCAACTAATGAACTTCCTTTTTCTAATAGAAACAAAAAAGTTGTAGTCAATGGATAAAAAAACCTCCTCCCCGATAAAAGATGGACATTAAAGAAGTTAATTCAAAAACTTGCATGGCCCACTGTCACAGAATTTCAGAATGAATTTTAAATTGCAAACATAAATGTGAAACAAGACAGTAGTATTTTGAACAAATACATGCATCATTGAAACAACATCATTAAAAAATACTCAAATAATTCCAAAAAGATACATATGGTAGGCCAACTTCTTTTGAAGATGTATATATAGTACCCCTATATCTTGGATACCCATTTTTGGAATGCAAAAGTCATGCAAATTTAAATACTTGCAGATCCAAAGTAGTATTCAATTGTTCTAATTATAATCTAAAACAGTATTTGATAACAGTATCGCAAAAAAGAATACGAATGGAAATGACTTGATAACATTGTATCCCATAGTCGAATATTATATAGAGTCTTACGAATGAAGGTGCCTACAGACACCAGTTAAATGTTAAGATGCTCTGAGAGTTATGAGAAATTACAAAGCAGAGTTGCAACTTGATCAAACTTCCTAGTAATGTGCACCGGTGAAAGAACACAAGACTTGTAAATCGCAGATTGCAGAAAATAGCAGTGATTTCAAATTCTGCTATGTTACAGTGATAGTCACTATTTGACAACGTTTTGTACAAAATCATGAATCAAACAATAGTGGTACGTTAAAATTTTGCTACAATATAGTCGCTCTATTTGACAACACTGCACAAGACAAGACAGGAAAGCTAAATGCAAAATTCAGTTAGCATAGGTAGCATGATGGCGGATCAATAAAAACAATAATTTTGCCTAATCCAGTCAATGAGAACTATAAATTTTGCCAGTAGAATATATAAATGTATTCATTCATATTTTGAATACCGATGCAACTATGCTGTTATGATGAAAATATTGTGAACATATAAGCTAATAATGACCAAAATCGAAAAATAAGGCATACCATGAATATAACAGCGCAACGACTTTGAAAATACAATTTTCAAAGGAAACAAAAACAAACAATTTCCATTTGGGCAACAGTATAGGAGCAATTTCCACTAATGTGTGTTACCATTGCCATATGCAGTGAGGATATGCTAGAGGAAGTAAGTCATACCGAGGCAGCCAGCAAAGCTGTGTAAACATTGTTAGTCATTAGCCTGTTAGGTGCTGCTTGAAAAGCCTTTTGTAAAGCATAATGTAGAATAGAAACTTTGTCTTCAAACATAGTTCCACCCCTGTCATGGAGTCCAACACCATAAAGGTTGCTTGTTGTATCAGGACCAGCACGTGAAACAAATCTCAGTTGTCCTGAAGCTACTAAAGCACCTAAGAGACCTATGATCCCAACAACAATGCCATCACTTTTATCAATATTGTAGACATTTTTCCTAGCATTGTCAGCACTAATAGATAGACTTATGCCTCCGAGATTCTTGATAGAAGGAATTTCAGAGGTAAATGTCATCCTGTCGCTGTTAATATCTGGAGAACTAGGATCAGGACTATTACAACTATAAACAGATTGAGAGTGTTTATCGTTGTCTAGTATGCTGGCTTCACTTTTATCCTCTGAACCTTCATCATCCTGACTTCTTTCAGTGTTTTCATTACTATGATCAAATTCTGCTTTTCCAAGTTCGGGATTCTTTGAGAAAGATTCTATTGCATCATAATCACCAGCTTTAGCTTCCTTCTGGAGGAGAACAAGAAGAGTTTCTATCCCACCACCTGCTAGAAATTCTTCTGCAAATGTGTTAGCCCTAGATGCATTAGGCTGGACAACCAACCTATAGAAGAGATGCAACACCCTAGCAACCTGAAAAATAAAGCAAATAACGAATGAATAATGAGTACTATAAAAGTTTTGTTTAGATAATAAGAATTTTGGGTTGGGCGTAACTCAACCTTACAAAACCGGCTTTGTAAGATTGTGTTAGGCTCAACTCAGAAAATATCTAAGATCCGTTGGGCCACCTGCTATCAGGTCACCCCTATCGAACCACACTCCAAATGCTCAATCCTGATGTAAGGGGGTGTGATAAGAGTCCCACATTTGATGAGATAAGGCCTTGAAAATGTATTTAGAAGTGGGGATAGTCTTCGGCATACAAGCCAATTTTGTAGGATTGTGTTAGCTGGGCCTAAATTCTTAATGGATAATTAAGAAAAAAAATTCAAATCAAACCAAAGATGTTAGATTTCCCAAACTACACAAGAACCACTAAAAATGAGATTAGTATGCCTGAGCATGCACCTTACTTGCATCTAATATACAACATACAGCAAAATAGAGCTAATTAGCTGGAGCTACTTCAGGTATGTAGATTTCAGTAAGCTAGGTATTTCTACATTGACTAGACCATAATAACCACCATGATCAGGTGTGTTGTCAAATACATTTGAAAATATTATATCGATGTGTCATTAGGGAGGATTATCATGCTAATTGATCATGAGTTCCAATATAGAAGTATGAGTTTCGGAGACTGTTGTACGAATTTTTGTTTGAGATTGCTTGGTTGGGATAGTGTCGAGGTTTGGAGTTATTTAAAAAGGAAGGAAGAAGAATATATATAACATGATAAAATTGGAATCTTATACCAATCTTGTACAGTTTTAGATGCAGCAGAATGGGAGTATGACAGAACTGACCGGTACTTAACTAACTTATCAGGGTGTGAGTACTGATCCCACTTCTTTATGTTGTACTGCTGTTGATATTCCCTTAGTAATGGATAGTCGGGTGAAGTAGGAAGGTGTAATTCTATTAGCATTATTTAGTGTAACTTTCTGTTTTGACTTGTGTTTGGACTCTGGTTTCTACTATCTCAGCAACTGGCTTGATTGTATAGTGTGCATTGGTCTAGGCCCTATCGCTTGATTGTCTAATGCATTGGTCTAGGCACTAACTGTGTCTGGGACCTTATCTAATAATATGCCATTTTCCTTTTTGTTAAATGGGCTTTGATCTCATCCTAAAACTACCTCAAAGAATGAGGGTGTACAAACACATATACACATCCAACATCTCAAGAACCTTAGCAATGTAGAACTCCAATACAACTTCAATATCCACCATCATACCTAGCATGGGTTCTGAACTCAACTCCTACATTGTCATCCTTAGTTCAGCTTTGATACCATATTAAATTTTTATATTGGGCCTTACTCAATCTTACAAAACATAAATGCAGGATAAGATAGACCCAATATAGAAACTTAGTTGGTATCAGAGCCTATCGATCGGACCACCCATCATTTATATCCACACAACAAGCCCAATATTGTTGGGCGTGAGGGGTATAGTAGGAAAAATCCCAAGTCCCACATAGAAAATATATAAGACCTAAAAAGAGAGACACCCCTCAACTAACAAATCAGTTTTGAAAGGATAGTTAAACCCAAAATTGATCTATGTAACCGACTCTACCGAATAATGAGAAAAGGCTATGATGGTGGTTTTTGTTGTATCATTCAAGCATCATGTCTAACTAACAATGTTTTCTTATTACCCCTTTAGAAAAAGAAAAAGAAAAAAAGCAAAAAAATAAAATAAAATAAAAATAATAATAATAATAATAATAATAATAATAATATAATAATGTCACTACTTTACCTGATTGGGTTGTGGGCAGTCAACCATGAATCCAAGTAAACATCGGACATCAGCTGAGACCAAAGAAGGAGGAGCTGCCACTATTAAAAGTTCAACTACCACTAAGAGCTCGTCAACCAGCGCATTAATTTCACCCACAGGACGTGTTGCCCCAGCTAGAGAAAAAGAATTCACTGAATCAATTTCATGAACAATCCAATAACATCTTCTGCAGCCATCGAGAAGCATTTGAATGGCATTGGCGTCACGCATTACGGTTGACTCTGTGAAAACCATGTCTGCAAGTGATGATAGAAGCTTCTTTTGTATGCCATAACTACACAAACTCCAAATTTTTAAATCTAATACCAGTGTGGCGAAGAGCTGCACTTTAAGTGTATGGTTAATCTTCTGAGATTGACAAACAGAAACAACAGCAGCAACAAGTTCCTCATCTCTTACACCATCATGCTTTCCAACATGAAGTGAAGATAGAGTTTGGAGAAGATGATTTAAAATTTTTGACAGAACCTCGGGTCCTCTACCACGAGACAACTCTTCATTGTTCCTTGGGTGTTGAATAGCCATGGATATAATTCTAAATATTGGGGCAGCAAGAGATGTGGTGGCTGAAGAAAGAGGAAAAGTCCCTTGCAGTGGTTCCAGAGTTTCCTCGTCTATATTGCTTATAGTCACAGGAAGCAAAGACAAGGGACCGCCATAAGCCAATGCCCATAAAGCATCCCCAGGTCGCATCCGTGTAGCAACATGGACTTGCCCAAGAACCTCAGCTGGACGTCGAAGCATTCCTGAATCATAATGAAGGGATCATAAGAAAAGCAGAGATTGATGCAGCAAAGCATTCATGCCTTGGTGATAAAAAATAAATTCTTTATTGCTGACAAACAGTAAATAAATGTAATTTTTTTATCCCGCAAATGGTTGGTTGTGTCATATTAAACACTGGAAATGGCTAAAATTGTTCATAGGAAATGGTCTATTAAGGAGGTATGGAGAAGTGAAGAAACAATAAAGGAGGGGTAAATACATAAAGTCACGGGCCTTAGCAAACAATGTGTGCATCTGTAAATTGCAAGACTAAAAGCCGAGAAAGAATGAGAGAAGCAGAATACAATTAAATAACAACCACATATGATATCTTCTCAAGACAGCTTAGTCACAGACAGGCCAATTAATGAACAATATACTTTTTACCTACCCTTTAATTTAATATTTATTACAATGTTTTTCATAAACAAGTTAGCAACTTTTTATGCACAGATAAATGAGCCTAATGCGTGTTCCTAAACAGTTTGTGATCCCTCTAAATTTAAAGTCATGTCTGTTGATGCAAAATAAATGGAAACAAACTTGCAGATAGAAGATGAAGAATCAAACAAGACAATGAGCTACACTAGAAACCATACTATTAATAAATATGTAACAAAAAAATTTCACTACTAGAGAAATAACGCCCATTGTGGTACTTATGAATTCCAACCCAAAATATAGTAAAACTTTTTTAAATAGAATTTTTCTTTGTATTTTCATAAATGATTTTTATGAAAACTTTTTTTAAAATGCTAAAAATATTTTTAAACTCATTTTTTATAAATTAAAAAACTGATTTTGACAACAATAACATAAATATATATTGTTGAAGATTAAAACATAGTCAAAATCACATGATTTTTCAAAAGAGATACATCTCAAAAATGATTTTTATGAAAAACTATTCAAAATAGCTTCAAAGTTAAGTGATTTTTTGAAATTATGATATCAAAAAAAAAGTTATAGTAAAATGAAGAAATACTTAAAATAACATTGTAAGAAAACTATTTAAACCAATTTTTCATTTGAATCTTTTTTGAAAAATTATTTGTAAATTTTTTTAAACAAAAATATGTAACACTATAAAAATCAATTTTAAAAAACCTGAAACAAACAAAACCCATAATAGCTAACCTTTCCAAGATTATTTATTAGGTATCTTTCTGCACAAAAATCTGTCTGCATTTATGCAGTGTATAAATATCCACATATTATATAATACAGAAAAGAAAAATTAAATCTATCAAATTTTCCAACCTGAAGCACCAGAAGGTGAAGCATCTGGACAGAAACGACCATTCAGCAGACTAGGATGATAGAGCAGATGGATGCAACCTCCAATTTCTGCATCTAGAAGCACACTCTCCTCTGCCTTGTTCTGTACATAGGGATTTGTTGCTAGCCATGGTAGCCCAGCTGCATTACCAAAAGAAGGTAATATATCCCCCCCTCTAGAAGCCAGCCCTGCCATTCTTTCCGAGCCAATTGGTTCTTTGAAGATATAAACAGGGCCCATCTCAGCAAACAAAGGACATTGACGACGACGGCGTTGCAAACCAGCCATAGTAGGAGGAGGGTTAGTTCCTATGCAGCAAAATGCCAGGGGTTTGGATATTCGAGGGAACTCAAAAGGACGACTTTCATATAAAGAACCATCTACATATAACCTGACTTCACTTTCTGCATTTCCGAGAATTCCATGCTTGCCTATATGCTCAAGACCAATGAAGTACCAGCATTGTGGTTTGAAGGGATAGGTAAAATGCAAGGATGACTTTTTTCCCTTTCCACTAGCAGTTTCAACAACCAAAAATTGAGCATGAAAATAAGCCTCTAAACCCTGATTATCATTGGATAAAAAACTGAATAGCCGGGGCATGTGCACTGTACCTTCACCAGCAAGCGCACTAGCTGCAGCAGCAGCTGACATGGCTGATGATTTACCTGACTTAGCCGATGCAGCTGCAGCAATCGCAGCAGCAACTGTGGCTGTATTCAATGTGTCCGCAAATGATTCAATGTAGATCCATGTAGCAAAAGCATATCCGTTGACGAACGGCCAACGGCTCTCACCTGGACCAAGCAAACCAGAACTTTCACCATCAAACTCAAAGGTGCAAGCTGGTCCTTTTGACTCCTTTCCACTTATTGCTTTCTCCAATGCTAGTGTTAATCGTGGAGCCCAAATTGTAGTGAGTGTTTTAGTAATGACTTGAAACCATCTGTAGAGATCACTAACACTAAGAGTATGGCCTGCTAAGTGCTGTATACATTGGCACAGAGGAGTTCCATCCCACCTCATTTGTCCATTTAAGCCAACATCCACTGTAAAAATCTTTTCAGCTGTTCTCAACAATACTCCTAAAAGACCAGCCGATGAGCACATTGCTCTATTTCTAGTGCAAGCTCTTATTATGGCAAGTAGTCCCCTAACCATCCTTGTTCTTGGTGACATGACATCATCAGTATCACCTATGTAAGGAAGCCAAGGAATAAGTTCGCCTGAGACAATGGCAGCCCGGGAGTTCAGCATTACACTAGGAGGATTATTATCCTCATCCTCCTCAAAGCTTTCAACACCGCCCATTGTTGCAAGAAGTGAATCTACAATTAAGAAAGGTACACTGTCCATTTCTTCACCGCTCTCAAAAAATTCTACACCGCTAGCAATATTCTTTAGCTTGTCAATACCTTCAGGTTTCCCCATAATAGCAGAATCAACTAGATGCAGTAACTCTGGAGACACATTCGGCTTTGCATGTTTTTGCCTGGCATTTGGTGGAGATGTAATAGTAGAAGAATACCCAGTAGAATCAAAACTAATTGATGGAGCAAACTGCTTGTTTGTATGACCGAAATTCCCCCCCTCTGACCCGGGGCTATAAGAAAGATTATCGAGATGCAGGTCAGTAACTTTGGAAGAATCATATTCTAATGAACATGACCCAGATGAGTATCGAGAATCCTCTGCATATCCATCATACGAGCGATGTATTTTATCAGAACTTGGTGATTGGTTTGAACCCTCAGACTCATTATTCTTGTCTTGATCGTTTAAAGATACTTGCTCAAACTGGTCCTCGCCCATAACTGTAGTTGCACAATCAACATCTTGATTTTGCAAGTGTACCCTCTCATCTACATGTTCAACCTCAAAACTACTGCTACCATTTACATTTTCCTGAAGAGGACTCTCGACAAATTGTTTTATATCACTATCTACTAAATGAGAATCTAATTCATTACCAGATATTTCCATCTCTTTTGGCTCTTCCTCCTCTTTCATTATGCTATTTATGAAAAAACTAACAAATATTCATTTGAATTATGAAAGCCCAATCCACCTGCAAGTAATAAAGTAAATTCAGAGAGAGATCAACAGACCAAAATATTCAAGATTTGGATACCATAATGTGTGCTACGCTAGGGAAAGATGGGATCAGATACAGTCAAGGTAAGAACAAATTATAGATGATAATGAACAGTGAATTTTACGGCAAGAACAGACATTGTGTTGATTTTTCAAACAAGAACATTATGGTCTGTATGGGAAGACGACAATCAAAAAGATATAAAAGGAGTATCAATATGCAAACCGGTGTGTGTGTGTGTGTGTGTGTATACATAAAATAAAATAAACCTATAAAGGTATTACTTCAAATCCCAGCGGTCTTGGTTAACTAATAGCATCTTTAAGAGGAGTGTCTTATTGTGTTGTTTAATAAACCATTAGAGCATACATATGTGGCAGCCACATGAAAGGACCATTAGTTGCTTAATAATAAAAGTGAATTTTATGTAAGAACATGCCGAACCCATTTCAAATTCTTAATTAATAAATCATTGGAGTTTTAACATGCTAAGTTGCTTAAAGTTGATATGGCATGATAAGACCCACCAAAAGTGAGTTAAGCAACACCAAGGGCAGACCAAAAACATTTGACAATGACAACTCATCAAGTATTCTAGCACCAAAGGGGAAAATTAGGTCCAATGCGTGTAGTAACTCAAAAGTAACAAGGACAAGCTTCAGTATGACTGAACAAACCATAAATCATTACACAGATGGAAGAAATCTTTATGGATACGAAAGTCTACAGTACACTACAAGAAAATCCATTAACAGTTCAATGCCATAGATTAAGAACAAATTCACAAGAACTAAAGTTTCACAACTTAAATCTCAAAAATAGTGACACTGAGAACAAATTAACTTACTCAATCGTTAAGCTAAGTGGATAAATAGTGTGCCAAACACAGAATCTAAACATTTAAGCATTCAAGTTTAATTCAACTATATCCTAACCAAATCAACAAGAACACACAAGAAAAAAGCTATGTCAACAATTCAGATCAAACAAAGCAAAAATAATCACACAAAAAAAAAAGTCGTCGTTTAGTTAAAAACGTCAAAAAATAAGAATTCACCAGATCTTACTCGAACGACAAACCGATGAAATCAAAAACGACGTAGGTCGTACGCAATGCAAGAACTAGATCCAGAAACAGTAGATCTCTAAAGATTATAGCGTGCATTCTCACACGATTCGAATCGGAACTTGGAGTCTCGAATAACAAAATGCACGGATCGTAACGAAAACTCCAGCGTTGCTTCCGAAACACGTAAAGAGGAGAAGTAATAGAGAGAAGTTAGAGTCTCGCGTACCTTCGAGAAGATTCCGGCACGGCGGTGAATCGTGAGGCTCGGATCGAGGATTGGATGGAATGAGAGAGAAAGTGCAGAGAGAATCGGAGATGCAGAAGATGAAGGGTATTGCCGTTTTGGATAGTTGGTGGAAGCTATGAATACTGATGTCTGCAATTTGGCCCCAATTCTTAATTCTTTCTTACCGATATCCTCAGTTGTCAACTCCGGCTTGGTCTTCAAACCAAGTTCATTTCTTATTCTTAATTCTTAATTTTTATTACGTGTACATTATTTTAAATGTTTACATCAGTTTATAGTTGAAGAGGTTTCTTAACCATTTTCTTAATTTGTTAAATAAGTTTTAAATAACAGAAATACTGTGCTATAAATATGTAAAATGTTATTTTTTTACTTAAATGAAAATGAATTTAATAGGTATATATTAACAGCAGTTTTATATTGGTATAATTCAACAATATTAAATTTGATTGGATCATGAAATCCTCTGAGAAGAGAATAAGACTGGTGTTTGGACCACAATAGTGAGGAGTGCCCGGAATGGGGTGCATCTCAGTTAAAGGTGTTGAACGACCATCATTGTCTCCAGACAGTAGCCCATTTACGCTACCAACCCGGATAGCACTTGTAACTAGAGTCTATGTGCTCATAGTCGGTTAGCAATTCGGCTCATTAATGACTATAACGGTTGTTGGCGCATTAAAATCAGCGTTACAAAGCTTTGAACACCTTCATTCATGGTGACGGCGACAGTTATCCAGTTATAAAGCCCAAGAGTCCAACCTTGAATAAGGCTCTTGATGACGCAAAAGGGATACTATATAAGGGGCACCCGAAAGAGGGATAGGCAAGATATACATTCTTGGGACAATACGCATCATTGTCGTAGCTCACAAATCCCCAAATAATCTATAGAATTTTACCCTTGTGGCTCTCCCTATACCTGTAGGGAAGCTACTCGTTTATTGTTCCTACGCAAGAACATTTGGCGCCCACCGTGGGGCCTCAGTAAAACTGTCATGGGTCACACCTCAAACCGCATTCAATGGAATATCAAATGACGGAGATCCTCTAGACATGGCACAACTACTGGCCGTGGTGGAGGCCCTCAGGCAACAGAATGAAACTCTGCAGGATAGCGTAGTAGACCTGCAGCTAAAATGTCAAGGGGACGAACACTCAAAAGAGGAGCTTTTGGAACCACGGCCATTTTTTCAGGCCATATGAGATGACCAAGTCCCCGAGAACTTCAAGTCATTGTTGCTCATGTCTTACGACGACAAAACTGATCGACAGGAGCATGTTATCGCCATCAACAATTAGATGGCAATAATAGGCCCTACAGATTCGCTGAAGTGTAAGCTCATGTTGGGGACCTTCAAAGACGTAGCTCTAAGGTGGTACATGAGTCTTCCTCGATTACCTGTGGAGAGCTACTCATACCTGACCAAGAAACTGGTACAACATTTCTCGACCAACAGGCACCAGAAAGTCTATACAACTACCTTATTCAATGTCCGACAAGGACAAGCGGAACCTATGTGAGAATACCAGGTTAGGTTCAACGAATAAACCATTAAAGTCTCTCACCCTAATCAAGATTTGTTTGTTAGGGCATTCCAGCACGATCTCTGAGTCGGGCAATTCAACGAATCCCTAGTACAAAAGTCGGCGTCCAACATGGAAGATATCTTCAGCAAGGTCGAGCGCTACATAAAAGGTGAAGAAATTAATCGGAAGAAGCGATCTAGAGACACCACTGAGAGAACTAAAAACAAAGAGGAAGGGACAGGGCGAAGACAAGAGTCTTCTTGGCCCGTTCCACGAGACTGGCCACGAGAACGAACTACTCAAAGGCCGATGACCCCTCAAGCCAAACGAGGACTAACACCACTAAACACCAGGAGAGGTGACATCCTGTAAAAAGTAGGCCATCTGAAACTAATCTCGGAGGCGCCCCGTCCAAAGAGGGTAAACTTCATGATGGGAAAAGACGTCGAGGATTGGTGTAGTTATCATCGGCTCCGAGGACATCACACCGACGATTGTCACCAACTGAAAAAAGAAATTGAGGCGTTGATACAGAGAGGACATATGTAATACCCTTCTAAACCCGCATATATTTTGCATGTATTTTTATGAAAATAAAACAAATTAAAACCACAAAAGGGTGTCACATGTTCATGTAAATGTCATACCAAAAATAGTTCTGCTCCGTAACACGGGTTTCAAAATTATTTAGGACAATTTCTTCATGGATAGAAATTAATAGACATATTCATACTTCTAGCAGTAGAATTCACAGTTCAAAAACATCTTATTATAATACTTCATAAAACTTCATCATACTTCATGATTCATAATCAGAATTCAAAATAACTCGAGTACCATATAAGGTAACCCAATATCTTAGAAACAAAACAAAGAACATAAGTTCATAATTCAAATGACCCTATCTCAGATGTTACATATCAGAGCAAGACCCACTCTACACAGTGGAAGGCAAATAAACACACTCTGAAGTTATCCTCTAATGCTTCAGCGGGCTAATCCTGGACACCTGCAAGTTACTCATGGATAGAGGCAACATTCCAAGCAGAAAGGTTGAGTAAATCATAATTATTATAAAGGATATAAGGAATAGATATAGTAGACATGCATTGAGGCAAGGCATCACACATCATCAGAACCTCATGTTATACTCACACTTTCACAATATCATTAATACATAACATCGTATCATCAAAACACCATTTATCAACAAGCATCATTTAATCACATCATTATGTAATGTCACTTATAATGAAATGCAATATCATAGACTCATTAATGTGGTACCAAAACTTCATTGATGACTCAATCATTGTTATCTCCAAAGATCCCCATCAATAGGATCGATTCCCACTTAGAACCAGATCACTTCACAATTTTGCACTCAATTCACATTATGGGATTGACGCCTTCACTGGACTATTGTCCTTTCATCTTCACTAGACCGAAGTCCTATCAATAGCACAGGACCGAAGTCCTACACTATGCCATGAATACATGATGCGCAACAACATAATAAATACGACTAAAACTAGTCAAAATGCATCATCATTCAAGGATTCATCACATACATCTCATTATGCAAAGCATCGCCATAATAAACAAAGCATCATCATAACATCATCATATCATCATGATAAATAAAGCATCATCATAATATCATTTATCATCATGATAAGCAAAGCATCATTGTATTCCAACACGGGGAAACCTACTTCATCATTGTTGTACCCCAAATTTTGCCCTCCCTTTTTCACAAGAAATCACAACTTCGGGGTTTTCCCTGATTTTTCAAATTAGCTCAAGAATCGGTCAAACAGATTTTTCTTTATCAAGTAAATCCAAAATTAGGGTTTCCATTGATTGGGCTGAGATTGGCTCAGGAATTGATCAAGCAGACGTTTCTTTGACAATAATCCAGGATTAGGGTTTGCGCACGCATTTCTCAGAAGAAATTGAATCCACAGTATTTCAATTGACTGTTACATTATTTTTACGCTTGTTCAAGATTGTTGTTTGCTTCTCGAAACCTAAAATATTTGGGATAGGAGCTGAGGCTTTGATTGAAA